TCTAAAAGAGACCATCAGCCACAGAAGCAAAAGAAACAGTAATCAATGCACGACCATATTAAAACGCAATATCGTGAAACACCGTAATATATGCTCTGGGTTTTAACAACGGAGCCGATGGGACTGAACGACTGATTTTTATTAGACTGGATTTGACTCAGTGAATGTTTAACTACTTGATACTGTCGATTTCCTATTCCTTATCCAGATCATCCCATCACCCTCCTCGGCCCAATCAAGCTGCAGCCTTGACTTACGCCACGGTCTTGCTCTCTTTTCCAGAAGTTTCCATATGGGCAACGTCCAGCTTACCGAGGAATTCGTCAAGGTCCTTGCGTTGCTCCTCCGGGACGTCGTTGACGTGGACAGCGACGTCATCGCCAAATCGGGCTGAAATCTCCTCCAAAGACAACTTGGCGGTTTCGGGGAAAAAGAAGTAAACAATGGGGATAAAGACAATGCACCAAACAATAATCACCAGGTAGTATTTCCAACCAACATGCACAAAGCCGATGGGGGCTGTCTGAAGCAGAATAATGGTGCTGGTGAATTGGCCAAAGAGAGAGAATCCCATACCGATTGGGCGGATCTCTGTTGGAAAGATTTCTGACACGTAGATGTACATGGTCGTATCGCAAAGGGTTCTAAATAGCACCAGTCAGAAGTTGGAAAACCATGGCTTAGAAGGATATAACTTACCCCTGGAATGCTAGGTAGAGAAAGACGAAGAAGACCCCAGCTGCATTGCCTGCCTTATTCGAGGTTCCGGCAAACTCAGCGATACAAGCAGCAAGGCCACTTGTGGTAATCAGACAGCCAAAGAGGCCCACCATGAACATCCACCGACGAGAGTTGACCTTGTCGTGAAGCCAGGCGCCCAGCGGGTTATAGATGACGCCGGCGGTGGTGAGCCAGAGGGCGGAAAGGAGGAGAGGCATGGACCCAGTTTGACCAAGGTTCGTGTAAAGAATGACGGAGTAGTTATTCTAGAAGAGTTAGAAATAGTTCAAGACGGAGTAAAGAACTTACAATAATGAGAGGGCCAGCGAATTCGGCACCCCATTGAGTGAGAAAGCCTATCGCCATGCGTTTGCGGTAGCTCTTCTTCTTGATCACAGCCATCCAAGGCCCGCAACCTAGCGCATCAAGCTTTGCGGCGTCTAGGGCAATCTGCTCCTTAATCTGATAGATCTCTTCTCGGGCCACTAGTTCGTCGGGATCTTCTGGAGACTTTCGCAAGTTACGTACAACCTCCCACGCCTCTTCGACTCGACCCCTCTGCAAGAGCCAGCGTGGAGACTCGGGTATCCAAACAGAGGCTGCCAACAGAACAAGGGGGGAGAGGCACTGCATACACAAAGGAAATCGCCAAGCAAAGTCTGGCATGCGTGATGTGGCGAAGTAGCAGGCGTACCCAAGCCAACCTGAGAGCATGTAGCCGAAGACGAGAAAGATGGCGTGGTGGCCTACAAGCCACCCTCGTTTGTCGTGTGGTGCGAGCTCGCTCATGTACATAGGGCAGACCGTGACGAGGATGCCGATACCGATGCCTGCCAAGATGCGTCCTGCTTGAAACATCCTGAAGATACTGGGTTAGTCTTCTGCTCTATAGTATAGAGACGATGATGGTAGATGCGTAAGCCTTACCCCAAGCTGGCTGCACCACCCTGCAGGGCTCCTCCCAACAAGGCAAAGGCGCCTCCGATCTGAATAGATCTCTTCCTTCCAAGGGCAGTCGCAGCCCACATGATGAAGAGTGTGCCGATTGCACCGCCTGCGCTGTAGATTCCGTTTGCGGTCGAGATGGCTTGAGTAGTCTTGGTGCTGTAGCCCACCTCGCCCTGCATGGGCAGGTCAAAGAAGCTATACCATCCTGGCTGGCCGATCGTGCTCCCGATGACTGAAGAGCAGTAGCCATATGTCTATAGGTGAGTTAGCATCCTACTCCGGTAGAAATTGTGTTGACATACAAGTGAGCCAAATGCAACAGCAACTGTGACCAGCCTGTTGTAAGCGGTTGTGTGTTTAGCCATGGCAAACAGAATCAAGGCAATATGAAATCGCAATGATTTGAGGTATTGCAAGACGAGGAAGAATTGGCCGTTGTTTTAAGGACTCGTACTTGTTCCTGTGACCATTTTTCAATGTGGTTGACAGGGGACATGCTCTATACCAAGTCTGTGTTAGGGGACTCCGCAACCCCAGACTCAAGACCATTGTATCGGGCTCCCTTGATCATGTTTACCCCAGAATGGAGGCCGGGGGCGGGGAAGGTCCGAGATGGCTTTTTCGCTTCCGGAGCGTGCCACTCTGGTGGCGCACTAGACACGACCTACGGAGTCCGTAATTTCGGAGTCAAGCAGGGAAGCAGATGGTGCCGCCCCACGAATTCCATCTTCTACAGGACCAGCTTGTTGTCAAGAACAATGGGAAGAATCATTCACAGCTTGAGAAGGATCTTGCCTGACAGGGTCCAAAGTGGCTACCCCAACGCGACAAGATTCGGGTAGTACCAGGGTGACATGGACAGTGACTACCTTCTGGGTACAACAAGGCCAGGATATCGGTGCCCTCGCTTGTACAGGCCTTGGGTTTACTAGTTGTCCTATTTGCTACTGTAATATTACATTCAACCTCTTGAGTTACAACACTTTCTCCAGTATTCAGACTTAATCGCGCCTCTTAGATAATAAACTCTTCCAGGTTTCTTGATTAAGCTGAAACCTTCAAAGTCTAGCTGATCCTTATTCATATGTCCCATATCTACCCTATATAGGTCAATACCTTTCTTCAATAGACAATGTCCCAGTCTTGCTGATGAGGAATTCATCGATAGCAACGTCCTTTCCACTCTCCTTCCCATACCCACTGTCCTTGATTCCCCCAAACGGCGCCTCAGCTGAGGAGCTGTTACCGACATTCTACCCAATGTCAGTGTCATTTCAGTTCAAGAATCTGGACAGACTTACCAGTCCAATCATGCCAGCTTCCAGGTCCTCAAACATTCTCAGCAATCTGTCAACATTCTTCGTGAACACGTAGCTTGCCAGCCCAAGAGGTGTGTCGTTCGCTCTCTTGACAACCTCGTCCTCCGTGTCGAAGCGATAGACACCCAGAACAGGCGCAAAAATCTCCTCGTTTGTCATGGCCATCTCATCAGTCATGCCAGTGAGAATCGTGGGTGCCATGAAGTAACCGTCTCCATTCTCCCTCTTTCCATTGCCCAGGACTACCGTAGCGCCCTTGTCGACAGCATCCTTGTACAACTCTTCTGCCTTGTCTAGTCCTCTTGGCGTTGTAAGGGCACCCATAGTAGTACCCTCATGCATGCCATGCCCAAGTCTCAACGCCTTTGTCTGGCTAATGAGCTTCTCGACAAAGCTATCGTATATACCACTCTGCACGTAGAGTCGGTTAGACGTTACGCAAGCCTGGCCTGCATGCCGCCACTTGAGCGCCATAAGTTGCTCCATTGCCTGCTCAACGTTGGCGTCATCAAACACGATGAACGGGCAATTTCCACCGAGCTCAAACGTTGTCTTCTTGAGGTTCTTCGCGCACAGGCCTGCGATCAACTTGCCCACACGTGTGCTGCCCGTGAAGCTGACCTTTTTGACCCTCGAGTCTAGACACAGCGTCTCGGCCACAGCAGGTGTGTTCTCGAGGCTTGTCGTGAGCACGTTGAGTGCGCCTGGCGGAAAGCCTGCTCTTGTAGCAAGATGCGCGACTGCGACAGCTGTGAGAGGCGTTTCGGGAGAGGTCTTGACGACCATTGTGCAGCCTGCTGCCAATGCGGCCGCCGCTTTACGCAGAGCGAGCGCAATGGGAAAGTTCCAAGGGACAAGGGCGGCTGCAACACCGACGGGCTGCTTGATTGTCAAGGCCCGGCGACCGGGAATGGCGCAGGTCATGGTCGTCCCATGTTCCCCCCGGTCGGCCTCGCCAGAGAACCACCAGACAAATGTCAAGGCATAGTCAATCTCGCCGCGAGCCTCAGCCAGTGGCTTGCCGGTTTCGTGGACAAGAATGCGAGCGAGATCCTCTTTCGCAGTGAGCATAATCTCGTGCCATTTCATCAGCAACTTGGCCCGCTGGCGTGGCGTCGTCTTGGAGTAGCGCTGGAACGCCTCGTAGCAGGAGGCGATGGCAGGCTCGACGTCGGCGGATGTGCAGTCGGGACATGTTGCCCATGGCTTCCCGGTACCTGGGTCGAGGACATCGAAGACCTTGTTGTCCTTGGCTGAAACGAATTGGCCGTTGACATAGGAACTGAAGTGAAGGAGGTCGGTGTCTTGAAGCGTGAAAGGAAGAGAGTATGGGCTTGACCCTTGTTGCTGTGTGGTCGCCATTGTGCCTTGGTGTTGAAAAAGCAGATACAGTCCAGTACCAATGCCCCGATTAAGCCTTTTCACATCTGATATACACGAGTATGATGGATTAGCTCGAGTTGGCGCAATTTCTGAAGCTCACAGGATGAGAAAGTTGGGGCCGAAGCTATGCGTAACCGATGCCGTCACCTCCGGCTCCGGCGGGGTGATCCGGGCCCCGTAATTACCCCGCCTTCTCGGAGTTGCAGTGCAGGGATCCGCTTCCATCCGGCGGCGGAATACCGAATACGGAAAGGCATCTGAAAGCGGTCTACCGAGCTTGCTCAAGCGCTTCGCAGTCTACCAAGCATATGTTGGTCTACTCTCCTTTTTATTCCAGGGTATCTTTTGATCAGTTGCCTAGAGTAGAAGGAAATCTGTTTAGCTACTGCAATTTGGCGCTCAGATGATGCTTTTGGGGGAATATGAGGGAAACGCAGAGGAAATGTGCGTGTCTCGGCGCTTATTTGCGAGACCGTGGATGTGTTTCTAATCGCCTCATCTTGGAAAGGCGCTACCTTTTCAGTGAGGTGTTTACGACTTTATACGTTGGGGAATCAAGTCTTGTGTGGGATTCCACTCATGTCCTTCCTTGTCATTTTTATATAGCTATCGCTATCTCATTATCCATTATCACACACAACGTCCTCCATCAACCTACACCGCATATCCGTTAGAATCGCCAAGATCAAAACTAGCACAGCAGTTACACGTACCTCGAGATCAACACCAGTGATAAAGTTTGCTTCTTCACTGGCCAAATAACAGCAAGCGTTGGCGATGTCACCAGGCGTCGACGGTCGCCCCAAGGGAATCGTAGACACAAAACCCTTTCTGTTCTCCTCGGTATCGGGCTTGCCGATAAAGAGATGGGTCCTGTCTAGCTCAGCATGATTTCTGCAACGTTCACTGATAGAAACCCACATTCCGGTGCTCCCAACCACTGGAGACACAGAGTTGAAGCGAATCTGGTGAGGCCCATATTCGACGGCCATCGTCTTGGTGGCGTTGATGACAGCGGCCTTGGAGGCATTGTACCAGGTCAACTTGGGCCTGGGCCGACTTCCCGCCGTTGAAGCAACCTGAATAAAGCACCCAGGCCTCTTCTCCTTTAAAAAATAAGGTAGCAGAATGTTTGTTGAGTGGTACACACTCTTGACGTTGACATTCATAACCAGATCAAAGTCGGCCTCGGTAGCATCCTCAGTCGGCTTGTTGGGATACGTTGCGCCAGCATTGTTGATGACGATATCAAGCTGCTTGAACCTCTCAAGCGCAAGAGACAACACGGCACGCCAGTCGTCGGGTTTAGTCACGTCTGCGCGAAGGAAGTGGCACTTCAGCTCAGAGGCGACGGCTTCGCCTGCTTCGGAGGAGAGGTCGGTTATGATGACGTTGGCGCCCTCAGAGACAAATTTGGCGGCGATGCCTTTGCCGAAGCCTGATGCACCGCCAGTGACGATGGCTGTTTTGCCTTGGAGACGACCTGACATGTTGAGTAAATCCTAAAGAAGGGTTAGAAGATGGCAGTGGTTCAAAGAGGGGACTTGAAAGACAACTTCACATGTTGATATAGCCGTTTAACACCCGTTTTGTCTCTGATCCCCGCCAACACCAACTGAACCCCGCACACCCGAGCGGCACACTCCATGCAACACATCATCAGGAAATTCATCACAGGAACATAAATCCTTTCCGGTTTGATCCAACATCCTTGGCGGTCCCACCATCCGTGCAGTCTCACTGCGCCGTACCGCAAGTCCGACATCGGAAAAGCAGCCAGGGCCAAGCCCAGCAAAGAGGGCGTCATTGTATTTGTATGGGTGATGATCTCCAGATTACCTCGTTCCCCGATCAAGCATCTCACTTGTTACAATGACTCCCAAAACTCTTCGCATTCTCGTCCTCCCCGGCGACCATGTCGGCCCTGAAATCATGGCCGAGGCCCTTAAAGTCCTCGACGTGATTGAGGCCAGCCGCCCAGACTTACGCTTTGAGCGCGATACGGACATTGTCGGCGGCTGCAGCATTGACAAGCACGGCAGACCTATCACTGACGCTGTCCTCGACAAGGCCGTTGCTAGCGATGCTGTGCTTTTCGGCAGCATCGGTGGCCCAGAGTGGGCGGGCGCTGATCCTACACCTGAGTCGGGACTTCTGAAGCTACGCCAGAAGCTCGATGCCTTTGCCAACCTAAGGCCATGCGAGATTCTCGTCCCGAGTCTTGTCGGCGCCTCGCCAATTAAACCCGAGCTTATTGCAGGCACCAAGTTCATAGTGGTGAGGGAAAACTGCGGCGGCGCGTACTTTGGCGAGAAGAAGGAGGAGGCAGACGTTGCATCTGACTTGTGGGTGTACTCGCGACCAGAAGTTGAGAGGTTGGCGAGAGTGAGCGCTGCTGTCGCCAGAATTCTGCATGCTAGCACCGGGGCTGAGGGCAAGCCGATTGTTTGGAGCGCCGACAAGGCCAACGTCCTGGCGAGTGGGCGACTTTGGCGCCGTGCAACAACAGATATCTTTGAAAAGGAGCTATCCGACGTGGAGCTGAAGCATCAGCTTGCTGATAGTCTGGCCATGTTGATGGTCAAGGACCCCAAACGCTTCAACCACAGCGTCATTCACACTGACAACACTTTCGGCGACGTCCTCTCCGACATCTCAGGTGGTCTCACAGGCACATTAGGCGTCCTGCCCAGCGCCAGTCTCGCCGGTGTTCCTGGAGAGGGCTCTTGTAAGGGCCTGTACGAGCCAGTCCACGGCAGCGCGCCGGACATCTCGGGCAGGGATATGGCGAACCCTGTCGCCGAGATTCTAAGCCTGGCTATGATGCTACGGTACTCGTTCCTACTGGAGAAAGAGGCTGCTGCTGTCGAGCAGGCCGTTATCAAAGTGCTCGACGCGAAGGAAAATGGCGGATTGGAGATCAGGACTGGAGATCTGGGAGGTAGTGCAAGGTGTAGCGAAGTTGGAGATGCAGTCTGTCAAGTGCTGAAGGGGTTATTAGAGTGAGAGTTGGATAATCTAAGGATCTATAGTATATTATCAAAATGTCTCGTGTTTATTATAACATTAAAGCTTAATTATAGGAAGCAATATCCTCTGACTTTCTTAGGCTTCTTAAATTTCCATGCAAAAACGATGCTGACAATAACCCTAATGTTTACCTATCGAGAGGCCTATTTTTAGGTCATATCGCGCGTACTTAAATATAATAGATGACCTAGTACTCGTTGAGACGCTTTTTAATTGATACTAAGTACTCATATAACTATGAAAACCGCGATAAATCACGCCCTGCCATGTGCCATAGTCGAAGCATGCTAAAGATATATGTAGCCAGTGTTGCGATAACTGCGAAGGAACAAAAGCCCGCAACCTATATAACTCACGTTAACTTATATATCTTTTGTAAACGAGCCTATATGATATGACCAACCACTTGATTTCCTTTACCAGGACTCGATAATCCCATGTAAGTTGTGTCTCCAATGAAGGCGATGAACCCGGCCAGCCACGTGTATATGCTAAACTCAAGCAAGCCTACCGCAGTCTGCCAAAGAATCACCTGATCCCAGCGTGGGAGACGCTGGCCTAGGCCTATATCACGCGAGAGCATGCGCCGGCACATGGCGTTTGCCTGAGGTAAGCATCCGATGCGCATTAAAAAGACACTCTGCTGCAAGCTCATGGCAACGGCACCAACACTGAGTACCAAGCTGCTGTACCAGAGGGCACGAACCATGGTATTGGCCACGGGGGAGAGTCTCTCGAGAGAAGGCCAAGTGAAGGCGCCAACGATGGTGGCACTCATAACAGCTCCCTTGAGAAACTATGTCAGATGGCTCGTTCGTCGGCTTTCAGGCTTCTTACAATGATTTCGACGTTGGAAAGTTGGGCTAGCATGGCTGCACGCCATTGTTGAATCATGCGATCACTATCAAATTCGTTTGGCTCGTTTACGGCTGCGTCGATGGCGTTTCTCGCGACTTTCCATGCGGCCAAGTGAAATGGGAAGACCTTTTTCACAGCATCCATCATGCGTCGCTTGTTGCCATGGCACTGAACTGCGAGATAGCTACCCTATTCAATAGCCAAAGGCCAGGCTTTCGAAATCTGTCTCAGCACATGTCCTTTATTCCCCAGCCCGCTTCGTCTTTCTGCACCACCGGCTTCTGTGGACTGGGCAGTGTGATGCGGTGCGGTCTACCCGAGGAGACTGACGTAACCGATTCCCGGACGACGCCCGTGGCTTATGGCTTGTTAGCATTAAGATGCCTATGGAACTAAGACTTGCATTTGCAGTGGTGGCTATGTTCACAAGGCACCTACCTATACGAAGAGCCCCACGTGAACAATTACAATCACAGTCTGTACGCCAACGTGAATTCCAATTGCGAGGATCTATCCTTGATGGCCCATTTTGTAGACTGGGTTTTGATTAAAAGGTGAGGCCGGATAGCACATAAGTGATTTAGTACCTAACTTGGACATGGAAGCCCATGCTCGCAAACATCCATCATATTCTCACATTCACACAGAGCCTTCCGGTCTGGCCTCGAGTGTTAGGAGTGCCGCTGACTACCTACTACAACCCCGATCACCTCCTTGGCCCTACCGCTTATCCTGTAGTAGCGCTGTGCTGAAACATGGCGCCTGCAGTCGAGAGAGAATGAGGCGGACGAGTGAGGCTAGGCATGCATGAGGCAGTGCGTGGGCAAGCAGGCTGTGGCCTACGCCAGGTATGTTTTCGTTAGGATAACCCGAAACCTCCAAACATTCTTCAGCGGCCCAGGTGCCCACGGGAACGACAGGGAGATATGGAATCAGTCATTAGAAGCCACTTTGAGAGGTTCCCATCAGCGATGGAGATCTTGTTTCTTGCCTTGGGAGGCTGGGTCGCTTGGCAGAAACACGCCCAACGCCGCGACGCTTCCCACCCTTCAGTCGGGCGGCGACTGCCAACAGGCAGGCTGCGGCCCAATATTTCAGCCCTCGGTAACCAAGAATGTCTTTGTACCAATGCTGTTTGTAGAGATCCTGGGCTTGCGACCCATTGTCACATTTGTCACACCCACCGAGCTCCTGCCATCTTATCAGGCCAGAGGCTTGCTTCGCCCCTCTTCTACCATGTCGTGTCTACTTTCACCTGATCTTAAGTACTTAAGCTCTTGATTGGCGTCCTTTATTTCTATACCTACGCAAGTCTTTTTCACTACCTAAAAGCACACGGCAACTTGCATCCAAGCCCAAGTCCAATCAATCCCACATTTCCAATTCCATCTTCCATTCACAATGACTGGCTCCTTGTTCGGATATTCAAACCTGGGAGGGCCCTCCAAAAGAGCACGTCGAGCTGAATTCAACTATCGAGTTGATGACGGCAAGTACGTCTTTGAGCAGCTGGTCAAGGATACTTACGATTCGGTCGAGGCTGAGTACTCACCCACCGAGAGAAATCGTTGGTGTCGATCCAAGTGGAAGGTTGGGATAGCTTGTGTGCATTTCCCAACCGTCGTCAGCATCGACAGGCTGGGTCACTGGGGGGTCTACATCCGTCGAGATGACCAAAAGGAGCTGGAAGTAGGCGAAACTCCCTTATGAACTGCCCTTTTTACGTACTCTGACATGTTGATTTGGCAGATTAACTTCCCACAGGACATATACAGAGTCTATGGGAGCAACTGGACCAGCGAGTCCGTTGAGGCCCTCCAACTTGAAGCTGTTTGGCAAGCCAAGGGGAACCCCGAATTCAAGCGGGATGTCCAGCCCGATGAAATTGTCTTTGTTCGCAGGCCAGCTGCGTCGGGCCACCATGAGCGCGATCATTCACCCGAGGAACTGTACCAAGAACAGGAAATGTACTTCAGCTGGCCCGAATTTGTGCTAGCAGGTATGTTTGACTCTCAAATGCATTTGCAGAGTTCTTACTAACAGAAGAGCAGCACAGTTTGTCCTTCAAGAGTACGTGGTGAGGCCGTGGAGACTTGAGACAGCAAAACTGTTACCCAGCGACCGAGCAAAGACTGTACGCGAGCTCAATACGGTGGCCGCTTATCACCTCTTGGACAACAACTGTCAGGACTTCTCCCGGCTGCTCATGGGCTTGATGCTGAAGAACCGCTGGGGAGACCCGGGGCGCCTGAACAAGCCCTTTGTCTTGGATGAATTGTCGGATGAGTGGATGAGCATCAATAACTCGTGGTCACGCGAGGCGCTCAAGGCACAGAAGCAGAATGAGCGCGGATTTCTGTATGGTGTCCCATTGATGCTACATCGCCTGGAGCAGCCAGACAAAGATGACCTAATCAAGATGGAGCCAGAAGATGCAAGGAGATTCTGGGAGAGATTGCCGAGCCGCCCAGGCAAAGCCCCGGAGGAACTACTACGCAAGCTCGACAACTGTCGGTTGGCAATCCAATTGGCTGAAGCCTACACATGTCGGATGACCATGTCGACTAGAGACTACATCCGAATACTGGACAGCACGGAAGCGAACGATATGGCGGAATATGTAAGGCGCCAGTTCCCCGAGGCCTTGGAATCTCATGCTGCAACCGTCAGGGCATGGTTTGTGTCATTCCACCACATCTCGCGCACTGACAAAGCTGCCTGGGATCTCCTGGCGTTCATATCGTGGATCCAACCTGCAAACATCCCAAAGTCGCTGCTGCCGGAGCCTGAGTCTGGGTCATTGGACAACACAATCGAAAAGTTGGTCAGATATCGCCTGCTGAAGATTGGAGGGGCCAATCATCTCGAAATGCATCCCCTGCTCCACTATCTAACCCAGATCGGTATTCAACAAGCCGAACGTGGGAAAGATACCATCCTCAAGGCGGTTCGTCATGTTGCCACACACTTTGCCGGTGGCAATGCCATGAATCGGAATGATTGGGAACAGTATGGGAGTCATCTCCACAAACTGTATGCCAATAGCAACGGTCTGATGAATCAGGAAGACGAGGCTACTTTTGATGTTGCTTTCTTGATTGGTCGGGGTCTGCTGATCAACGGTGAGGCAGACTCTGCGGCTGTCTACCTGAAAGAAGCTCTTGCTTGGAGGGGACTTCGTCTGAGCGAAAACAGCCCAAAGCGGCTCGAATCACAGCTCGAGCTTGCAAGGGCCTACGCGGGAAGGAAGCATTCACATCTGGTGATCGACATGCTCAAGGACGTCAAGCCTCTTCAGCAATTCTTGAACAAGAACCGGCTCAGCCTTGGCCAACGACTGATGGGCAAAAAGCCCAGTACCATGACCTCCGAGGTGGGCGATGAGCTTCTGCTCATCTTGAACCTCGCACTCGAGCTCGCCAAGGCTTTCATAGCATTAGCCAAGCATAAAGAAGCTGCCAAGGTGTTCGCCGAACTCGAAAAGGCAGAGCCTGCGGGCCTCATCGAGGATCATCCGGGTTGGACTGCACACAGGGAAGAGCTCGTGCACACCCTGGCTCTCAACTGGCAGTTGAAAGACGAGATCAAACTCCGAGAAAAGATCCTGGATGCCGAGAGCCACCCTGAGCGACTTCCATCGCAGAGAAAGCAGGCGATTGATCTGGCAAAGGCCTACCAGGAAAGCCATCAGTACCAGGAGGCCATCGACCTGCTCAACAAGCTCCATCGTTTCACGACTGATCCAAAAGAAGAGCTGGAACTGCTTGGGACACTCACAACAGTATGGCAGCACGTTGATATGGACAAGGCAAGGGCACTCAGGCCGAGGCTGGTTGAATTGCAGAAGGAAATTAACAAATGAGAAACTATCAAGGGTGCATTTCAGGCTCGGGCTAACGCCTAAACCGAGGAGTAATTTAAATTAATTTATTAAAATATTATATTTTTATCCTAATTTATAAAAAGATGCAGAAAAGTATATAATATACTTAGATATATTATATCCTTATTATATTAGCTGCCTTACAACGTGATTATACCTCTCGTTCATTTAACCTTACCCTATCGCGCCGGGGACACGTTCCAGTTCCAACCCCGCACTCCGCGCTTGGCAAGCCACGTGACGCCCTCCATATCATCTCCAACATCTTGTCTAAAGTAAGGAGTTCTTCATGATCACTGCTGCAGTTTAGCGATGCCTTCACCATCTTCCTTAATTATCCAACCTCAGGGGCGAGAGACGGGAATTGGAACCTTGAAACGCAAGCGACGGCCCCGAGCCGCCGTAGCCTGCGACACTTGCAGAACGCGCAAAGTCAAGGTTCGCTCTTTAACACCTCATATGAGGGCTATCCGACACTGACTTTGTCTTGGTTCAAGTGCGACGGAGGGCTTCCTTGCTCAAACTGTGTTAGTAAGTAGTAGTAGTAGTACTTGGTAATTGCCGGGCATAAGCAACTTACCCCTAGGACTTGCAGAACACTCTTTTGGGTGCTCATACAAGGATGGACACCCCCAAAGCAGCCGAGAGAACCCCGACCGTGATTTGAACACCAGGTACGTATGCACCAGTATGTGGAAGATTACAGTAACTCAACAAGATCTAGTGAGGCCGCTGAGCCACGCAACGTGCCTCTAGCCGGAACTGCCGGAAGACCCGACCTTGGACCTACATCCCCTGTGAGTCTTGACGATGGTCCTATATCTGAAGCCGTCGAGGCATCAGCACCCGGTGTGAATGATCATGGCTCTTCTGCCGAGCGATCGGCGACTCCTACGGCAGGTGGTCTTGCCAACGTCAACCAGCACACTGGAGGCTCCGAGTTTTATGGGCCGAGCGGGACATTTTATTTCCTCTCTCGGGTGAGATCTCATGCTCAGTCTCGACCGCAGCCTCGCCAGGTTAGGGCTGCCGCTGTTGATGCTGGCGTAGACAGTAGCTCGGTTGTCAATCTATTGCACAGCTCAGATTATACGCTGCCTAACACACAGGATGCCAGCTTGCACGGATCAGATACCCGTTCTCTGGCTCAGCCAGCCATGCCACCCTCTTCGGCTGCTCGACCAACTGCCCACGACGACGAGTCTCTTCCCAGAATAGAGATCGAGATTCAGCGGGAATGCGTCAGACTTTATTTCGACAACTTGCACTGCGTCCACCCAATACTTGACCATGCTTCTTTCCTCCGTCGAAGTGAGATTGAGGTGTGGCAGAATCAAGGCCAAGACAAATCCACTCCCACCCCAAACCAAGCAAAACGGCAGAAGCAGAGATTTCTTGCTCTGTTTCACATTGTTTTAGCTATCGGGGCGATTACAGCTGGTGACACGTCGTCACTTACATGGGATCGGATAACCAAATTTCTGGAGGAAGTTTACAGCAGTCATGCCTTTGGCAATAACCCTCCCTCATACGCCCCCATCCGTGTCGCTCGGCTATACTTTGAGAGGGCTAGGGCCTTCCTGGGTGACGTCTTTGAGTCAAGCTCGATCGAAAATACTCAAACACTTTTCCTCATGGTTCGTCAAGTGTCTCATAAGCAACGCTTCTCATTTTGTTAGCTGACCCGTCTTTACCCAGTCCGTCTTCTGCCAGAATGCTTTAAAGCCCCATAGCTGCTACATGTATAGTGGCATGGCCTTGAGGACTGCCCTCGCCATCGGACTTCCGACAACCACTCGCAATAGTTCCAGTGAAACCAGTCGTTTATGGTGGTGAGATATAATCCCTCCCTCGCACTTCAAGTCGTGTATTGCTGACAAAGGTCGTCTAGGGCCATGTATTCCTTCGAGATGTGAGGACCCTAGACCTCTTTTTCAAGCTAGGTACGAAGGAAGCTAACAAACGGCATAGTGAAATGTGTTCTGCAGCGGGGCGCCAGTCGTTTCTCCGGGCTCCCAAGCACTATGGAACTCCATTGCCTTCTCCTGCAGGTCTTCCATCAGGCTTCCGCATCTTTTCTACAATTGATAATAACGACTTTTAGAACCCCGATGAGCCGCTTTTGCCATTTATTAACTGCATGGTTGACTTGGCACGTATCTTGGCCGAAGTGGCGGCGAATGCGAACCCCCCTGGCCAAGAGGAAGAAACCTTGGCTACCAAGTCGAATAGGTCAACAAATCTTGAAAGGAGCCTAGCAGAGTGGAAAGATGGACTTCCCGACCACCTGAATCTGGGGACCTCATCTCTCCATGAGAACGAACTCATCACTAAACAAAAAGTTGTCTTGAGACTCCGTAAGCTATTTTCCTTAAGAGCCATGCAATGAAATCCCGCAGATATCTGACCGTCTTAGGTTACCTGAATATGAAGATACTTATACATCGGCCGTTCTTATTATCGGCTTCTATAGGAAAGGACCCAACGTTTTCTAACCATGTTTCCTCCTGCGTCCAAGCAGCCAGCGAGGCCATCCGATTTGTATGGGATACATATCTATATCGGCCGTATTTCCGTACTTGGTGAGTTAACCATCGACTTATACAATAATACTTTTGAGATTAACTATTTAGGTGGTATAACTGTACCTACGTTCTTGACGCAACCATGGCACTTTTGTACGTCATCCTAATCAATGCCAGCCCATACCCGGTCGAAGTCATACTGGGAGATATCGATAAGAGCTTGGAAATCTTTGCATCCATGAAGATGCTTGCCGTTGCCCGCAGATGCACTGAAATCACAAGGGAGGTTCTGAATGCAGCCAAGACATCCCACGCGGAATCTTTCCATCAGGCCCTTGAGAGGCGCGGTGATGATGCCTTGCGACATGAGACACATGGCGATCAAGGCGGTGATACGGCTGGCTCTGAGCCCATCATCAATCATGTAGGGCACAACGGCGACTTTGAAGGTGATGGGACTACGTATGAGGAGCTATACTCCAGCCTGGTGGACACAAACTTGGTCTACGACTTTCTCGATTTCGAGGATTGGAACGCTTGGTCTGCCACAGATGGCCCAGGCGCCGAGACGGGTAATTTCTTGTACTAAAAGGACTACGGATAGCCGCGTACTGGGGAAGAAAGCGCAAAATCATTACTATCTTCCCGTACATTCCTAGACCGAGGTTCATTTCGCGGGGACCACGCGTTCGACCCAGTTACTCACCAAAGGACACAACCACCTGTGCATAGATAAGTAGAAATTTCAAGCAGACAAACACACCACGCCACAGACAACGAGAGAGCTTCAAGTTATTGGAGCGAAGTATTTGGGTGGAATAAAGGCCTTTGTTACCATAGTCCCATTGGTTCGAGTTGGTAACGGGGCATTCCCCCCGTCTGCGTGAACTCACACTTAGGGTACATCATATTTTGTGCATTCTGGAAGTTTTATCCAACTCAATGATCTGCTAATATCCCAATAGAGACTCTGAACGACTAAAAACTAGCTACTTTCCCACATGTGCGAGAATCAACGACGCCAAATCCTCCGCTGTTGCCTTCTCGTCAAGACGACCAAGCAAGTGCTGGTCAGGCCTCACAAGGAGTCCGCAACCGTGTAGGATGCCTGAGCCATCGTTGTACATCTTTCTTTGCTCCTCATAGACGAAGTCAAAGTCCTCATCGATTGAACGTAACCGCAAATTGATCCCAGACAACTGGGTCAACTTGTACAGCTTGTCAACTCTTTGAGCCCAGGTTTTATGCGATGACACTATCAGAGTGAAGCTGTCAAATTCTACAAGATCAAGCGTCGAAAACTGACGGGAATTGATACCATGTTGATGGAACTCCTTGACGTAAGACATATCGAGAGGGGCCATCTTGCATGACACCGCACCGAGTCGTGGCTTGATCCAAGCGTGGGGCAACCGGCCGCCAGGGGTAAACTTGGGAGAGAACTTGGACGCGTGCGGTGGCGCCTCTTTGTCCCCATAAACATAACCGATATGAAGGCCAAGCTGTGGATCATATCAGCTATCATTCTTTCATTATGGGATATCGGTGACTGACATTATCAAAGTGTTCCCGCTGCCCTTCGACTTCCCTTGCAATCATGTCCTGCTTGTCAGGATCGTGAATTGACTTGTGGAGATTCCGTCTTGCTTCCTCTACGTCATCAATGCCGGCCGTTCCCAGGGTCTTGAGAAACGAGAAGATTTTCTTGCCATTCTTGACGCTTTGAGCCGAGTTGACCAATGCAATCTGTCTTCTATCGTCTTCGTAGGTCTGCAGGATCGACGAGGTAGCCCAGCCATGATGGACCGCGGCAATCTTGTAAGCAAGGTTGTGTGCGTCAGCAATGCCAGAGTTGAGGCCCAGGCCACCAGTGGGAGGGAATGAATGAGCGGCATCACCGACTCTGCATCGACGACGGTTAGATCGGTATGACACGGAACCCAGCTTGAGGGGCGACGTACAAGAAGGTGTTTCCTTGTCTGTAGTTTTTCGCGACCTTTCTGCTCAGGAGCCATGGGCGATAACTCAGGATCTCGAACGGCACCTTCTGGCCGATGGCAGCAGCAACAGTTGTCTGCGCGAGCTCTTGAGACCAAGTATCTGCCGGGTGCTTCTTGGACTATCAAGTGTCAGTGTGCAACACAAATAAAGATGGGAGTACACTGACATTGAAGTTGCTGATCAGCACATGGTTGGCCTCAAGATCATAAGCAATGATGAATCCAGGGCATGCTGGATCCGTAATCCAGTGCAGCAGGCCAGTCCTTTCACCAACAACAGGTCGAAGATTAGCCTTGAAGTGTATTGTCATCATGGTCTCATCTAGGGACTCTGGTCAGCTCGTCGAGGGAAGAATACTACTGGGAAAGTAACTTGCAGCCATCTTCGCCCTCTGATTCTATACCGAGGTCCGTACGCACTTGGCTCTTCGCTCCATCACAGGCTAGGACGTGTCTAGAGCGTACCTGCCACCGAGTCTTTGTCGAACGCTCCTCGAGTGTTGATATGACTTGATCGTCAACCTAAAGCTTCAGGCTCAGTCATGTGTACTATACCACATGTGCATCCCGCTTACGTACCTGCCGAGATGTGATATAGGCAACATTCTTTCGAATCTCGACGTTGGGGTCATGTTCAAGTTCTTTGGCAACGAATTGCTCAAATGCTGGTTGTGGAATGTTGTGGAGCATCTACCATTGTTATTAGCGGTGCTGAGTATAGAGTATGCTGGTCCCTCTACCTCTGGAGTATGTTCCAATACTCCAGCGTCCATTCTCTCGTAAGGAAGAAGCCCAATATGTTCGCCGCTCAAGTTGGTGACAAAGTTGACCTGATTTGCATCTTCTCGAGGGGTACCAAGCTTCCGCATGGTGTTAGTGTCAAGGCCGTACTGGCGACATATCTCGAGGCTTCGAGGACAGAGGGCATGCGCTTTCGGGGCGGCAAGTCGTTCAGGGTATTTCTCGATGAGCAGGGACTTGACTGGTAGGGAGAGTCAGAAGTGGTATATGCGACTTCCAACTTGTACTCACTTCCAAATTTGGAGAGCATGTAGGCCGAGAGTAGACCAGTTGGGCCACCGCCAACAATGAGGACAGGCAGTTCGGCGGGCTGGACTGGGCCGCCATCCTCGACGTCGCCAAGGACATTGCCATTCAGCTTGACTTGCTCCAGAATTCCAGGCATGACGGTTCTCTGTGGAAATGCTTACTTGGGACGGCGATCTCATTGATTCGAGCCACTACAAAGATAAAGTCCGGGGCACCTTGAAATAGACAAAGCGCAAGTCTAACGCTAAGCAGCCCTCGCCGAGCTCAGGGCTCTCATTAGCTGTAGAACTAGATCTTGTTCCGACACTCGCGTTCCGATTCGTCAATAATCCTCGGCATTGACGGAATCTTCACCCGACCGGCTACGACACTCTATAACGGCTCGGTAAAAGGTGCCCGATATGACTGTGGTGTAATCCGTTTTAGATGTTGCCGAGTTGAAGCATTCATACGTGGACTTGCTGAGACCCGAGTATGTTCAGCCTCTGTACTATCCCAGGATCGGGTCCGGCTCGGTGGACATGCCCCGCTTCTCCCGGCGATTTCCCCGCCCCCGCAAGCCGATGGCCCCACCAATGGCTACCCGGGACCCGACGCTTAAAAGGGTGGCTCCTATTCTCCTTACCCCATGAGGGGGCATGGGAGGTAATCAAATCGACGGGAAAACAGTAATCGTGACAATGACCACAAAAAGGGGACCATTCCGGCTCGTCACCGTCAACACGGCTCCCGAACGAGCGAAGCGCCTTATTGGACGCTTGATCGAAACATTGAAGGATGACTACGATATCACTTACGTTGACAACTGTGAGAGTATGAAACCTTTTGGCTTATGTTTTGACTACTTGTTCTAATGGACGATGTGGCAGGCATTGACCAGGTCATACCCAAGGTCACTCAGCACAAACCCAACGTCCTGGTAAGCTTGGTACTGTTGAGACAGGTTTTCTCGCACACGATCCAACTGACAGCGACCTAGTTCTCTGCGTCGATGTGGACTGCGGAAGAGGCCCAACAGATCCATTCACTAGCAAAGTCCATAGTGCCAGATATCAAGTTACATGCGATCCCTACTGGTTTACAGGTTGAGAAAGGGCCCGATGCCATTGTCAACTATCTGGTTGAAAAGGTTCCCCCGTTGTTGGATTCTTGAAAATGGGCTATGTAACTCTGAAGGAAGCACACTGGATGGTTGGATGTTTCCATCCGCAAGTATAGCAGAGTTAAGAAGAATACGAGTAGATAGATGGTAGGCGTGAGCGTTGTAGATGAACGAGGTGTGCGTTTTGACCACGTTGGCTCATTCTTAGTCTTGAATGGACGCATAGCAAAACGTGAAATCTTGCCAGAGCCAGAAATATTACGTAGTTGAATGTACTTGGTGCGTTTTTCGTCAGAAACCGAGGGAATCCCGTGAGAAATGTTTAGTGATATGACTCTTTCGGTCTTAATCCTATTGGAGTCATCCCTATTTTTAAAAGACCTATGATATTTTGCTTTAAATCCTGTTTTTGATTTGAGTATTCTGGCTCTTATGCTAGTCTACTCTTCATTCTCAAAGACATTGAATAGTGTTCCAATATGTGGCAAAATCTCAACAGCAAACTCATCCCCATGCCTCAGTGTCTCCTTAGGCGTCCGACCCAAACCAACTCCAGCTGGGGTTCCGGTGATGATAACCGTACCAGAGGGAAGAGTGGTACTTTGCGAGAGAAAGCTGACTAGCTTGGGGACACCGAAGATTAGGTCACTATGAGCGGATAATGTTAGACAAGATTTGTTGCACGCGGGGGGTTGGATAGCTGTTGCTTACTTGATACCACAATTTTGAACAACCTTCCCGTTTTTGAGTCCCCGAAGCCAAAGATTTGACACGTCGGGAATAACAGATGTAGAAACAATGACTGGACCTACGCCAAATATTAGGCTCTGGATCCCATGGTGGCCGAGAGAGAGCACACGTACCCAGAGGGCATGCTCCATCGAAGCCCTTCGAGAAAGACCATTGGGATTGGTTAAGCTGAGAGGTTCGGCTTGAAATGTCATTCACAGCCGTGTAGCCTAGAACGTAGTCGAGAGCGTCGGCCTCACTGACGTTTTTGGCTGCCTTGCCAATGATGACTGCTAGTTCCGACTCGTAATCGCCACAATCATCGAGCTGAGTGAGCTTGGGTAAGATTGTTGGAGCAGGCCAAGGGTCGCCGACGGCGTTTGCAGGCTTCCTGTTTACATACGAGTCAGCTTGCAATAGAGCGAGTAGCAGATGATTGATTCGGCACTGACAGGAAGACTGTAGGGATGGAAGGGATATCCATTTGCACTTCAGCTGCGTGCTGTTTGTACTATCCAAAGGTCAACGCCGTATCTTGTATGACTTCATGCTCATGGAAGATTTACATTCAACCCAATGCATCTGATGGTTCCAACTTCGTCCTGAGCCAAGGGAGAAAGAACACGGTCAATCATTTCAACCACACCTGTTTCTTTGCCTGGCGATAGGATCGAGGTTCCCGAGAAGACGTCTACCGAGACATTCTCCCCCCTGCGCGTCGCAACGCCAACATCCAGGCCACTCTGCTGCGGCTGGCCGATGAGAATCCGTGAAGGGTCGGACTTGGGCACGAATCGCACAAGGCCTAATATGTTGTGTTATCCGTCTTCCATCCGAGATGTATGCCATATGAACTTACGAGAGAATGCTGGGATCGAGGCCATCGTAGCTGATGGTGTTCAAGTCCGACTGACGATGCAGGCCCAAGGCCTTCAAGATTTTGCTTTCTTTCGTGGAATGGACAGCCGAGTGGCTGGAACATGATTGGTAAGGTCATTGGTGGCCACCACCAATGGGATTGTCCATTTCGGAGAACCATCACCAACATGTCGGGGTGATCCCAATGGAACCAAGCGCCGAGAACCGAGGATATGCGTGCGATTAACCTGGTGATTCAGCTAACCGAATTCCATGCTTGTCTGGGAAGTCTTTGTATTGTAAGCGTTGGCTCACCTGTTCAAATAAGACGAGCAGCAAGGTAAACAAACTCCAATCTTCACTTTCCACAATCAGGCCCCAGTTCACATCACGAATCGACACCATGAGCAACATGATGTCCCACCAGGGCAGCACTTTTCGGGAACATCTTCCCGACTTGAGCATTGCAAGATTCACCACCATGCAGAAACAGAATGCGCACGAGTATGCCCAGGCATTCAAGAGCAGTGGCCAGCCACCTTGGCTTCATGGCCTATACCTACACTGGAGGAGACTCTTCGAGGAGCCTTACAAAGGCATCACCAATGACGGTAAATGTTAGACCCCCTGTTGGTAATAGCGCGGAAAGCTGACACAGCACAGGCAAGGTCCGCGATGGCCTCTACCAGCTCCAAGACGAAGGGGTTCCGATAGAAGCCATCACCTCAGCGGCAAACGCCATGCTCGACAGGTTATCTGAGAGCCAGAGGAAGGTAACCTGTTATCACATCGACTCCCCAGAATGGCGATCCTGGTCAAATCCAGAGTTTCTTCTCAGCGATAAAGGCATTCGCCTTGATGAAATCACCGCCGAGCTCAGAGAGGACGTTCTCGGAGTGCTCAAGACAACGCTCTCACCGGCAGGGTACGAAAAGGCGGTGGGCGCTACGAGAGTCAACCACTTTCTAGGAGAACTCGTGAAGTCTCCGGCTATTATGAATGAGTACTCATACAACTTTGTTCTCTTCGGCCAGCCTTCGAAGACCCGGCCATGGGGCTTCTCCTTCTACGGCCATCATCTCTGTTTAAACATTTTTCTCCATCAGACTCAAATCATCATCTCTCCATCGTTCATAGGAGCGGAACCCAACCTCGTCGACCAGGGCCCCTACAAGGGGACCAGAATCTTGAACAAGGAAGAATCACTTGGTTTGAGGCTGATGCAGGACCTGCCAAAGGACCAACAGGCCAGAGCGCAGGTGTATAAGCTCATGAAAGACCCTGCCATGCCCCATGGTCGATGGAACCATGATGACCAACGCCATCTGTGTGGAGCGTACCGCGACAATCGGGTCGTTTCCAACGAGGGAATCTTAGTGTCCCAGATGACGGGTTCACAACAAGACATGGTTCTAGCTATCACGGAAGAGTTCCTTATTTATCTACCAGAGCGGGCCCGCCAACTCCGGCTAGAGCAAGTTAAGAGCTTCTTTAGCGAGACTTATTGGTGCTGGATCGGAGGATATACGGATGAGGATCCATTCTACTACCGCATCCAAAGTCCAGTCATTATCATCGAGTTTGATCACCATTCCGGCGTCTTCTTGAATAACCCGGAACCCGCCAAGTTCCATATCCACACTCTGCTACGAATGCCGAATGGGGGTGACTATGGGATGGCGCTGAGGCCTTTGATAAAGGGGCAAGAGCAGGCATTCCTTTGGGAGGGATGAATGCCTGGAGAAGTGATGTCGCGAGTCTTTGGTACGGCATTTCGATTAGGGTCGACAGTTGATCAATTTCATCCCATGCTTAACTTTGGAAGAAATAATGAAATGCCGCTCAGCTAAATACGGTCGCTTTTCCCCATCAACTTCGTTGGCCCTTCTCACACTTAAGTTTCCAGATATTCTACGGGACCACTCTCCGACTTTGAAAGGCTTCGTCAGTTTAAAAGTTGGAGGAAATTTATTACAGGATGTGTTCATGCATTTGACTGCCTGCTTATGAACTACTAAGCATTGAATGAATGTATATAACTTGACATCAAGACCGGTTATCCTCCCATAGATTCTTCAGTCGTGCCTACCTCCCAGCGGGCCAACACTCTCCCTTCGTTTCAGAAATTCCGTTATTATTCAGCAGGCGTTACCTCTGGAACAAGTAACTCGCTGTCATACTCTCCACCCATCCATATCCTGACCTCGCCGAAACTGTGGCTCGGTCCTTTGAACTGTGTCATGTTTTCTTGGTCGGTAAAAGTCGTGCCTTTGACTGCGAGACGCAGTGTGTCGCCAGCTTCCCAAACGGTACTACTAGGCCATAGCTCGATGTTGACTTCAACAATGTCCTGGGGCCGCAGCCAAAGACGTCTCTGGTGAAGATGAACTGGCCTCTCGGGGGTGCTTTTGGCAGTGTCCAGTTCTCGGTGAGATGCGCGTAACCACCCAAAGGTTGCATCGGCTTCCAACTGTTGCGTGGAATTGTAGAATTTGGTAGCCTGGCCCTCCTTGTCGATTCGTTGCAACGCGACAAATAAGTCCACGTCGGGGAAAGAGAGCGCTTGGATGAACAATTTAACTGAAGAATACCCCGTTATTTCGATACGCCGGCCGATCTTGAAGTCGAAGAAAGCCGCGGAACTGGACTTGTGTGCTATGAACGACACGCTTTGTGCAAGACTGTTGCTGGCACAGCCTTCATTGAGCGTGAGCTTGCTATCAGCCGAGAGTCGATACTTGGTAAATTGCGCCTTGGGAGGGAAGTCGATTTCTAGCCGCCGTGAGCTCTCTGTGGCTGACGTTCTAACAGCCATCTCAACTCTAGACCATGTGTCCACATCGTTGGAGACGCGTTTCAGGTAGCGGTCCCAAAATAGGCGTTGTTTGTTGATATTTTCGTCCTTGTAAAACTCGGACCATTCTCGACCGGCCTGCGGAGGGAATACAAGTAAGCTTCTGTAAGGTGACATGGCGACTTGTGTGAGAAAATCAGACTTACGTGAATGATGAGGTACTTGTTTGGTGAGGACATCTTCTTCCAAGCCTCAATTGTCCCGCGAAGATGAAGCCCCAGCGATGACCATCCCGTCACCGCCAGTACGGGGACATCAATCAGACTCCAATCCACCACCTTGGACTGCCAATACTCGTCAAATAATGGATGCTCGAGACTAGCCACAGCATGATCCTCGGTCACACCTAGGCCATTCCCTGTCATGTTCATCCAAAAGTGCTGAAATGGGACGTTGGGGATGCCTCCTGGTGCATTGACTTCCCGGTAGATGTCCGAGATGCCTTCCCAGATCATGATGGCCTTCAAGTGAGGTGGTTTCAGCACGGCAGTCTGGTATGCGGACATTGCGTAGTAGGACACTCCGCCACCCCAACCGATGTCGCCGGTGGACCTAGATGGACGTCAACTTGGTGACAGCCATGGTATGCTCGTGACTTACCACTCCTGCTGCGATGCCCACTCAACGATGTCATATCCATCCCTGCCTTCCTCTGGCGAGATGTGGTTCGAGGCGTCGCCCTCAGACCACCAGGTGCCCCTTGGATCGACCAGCAAGAAGGAATAACCCCATTCTCCGCACCAAGGAAGAGGGTCAGGTAGTTCCCAATGAGTATGCTGGCTAAGCTTCTCAAAGTCGACTCCCATGTTCTGAAACCTCTCTCTAGGAACAGCTCCGTGCTTTCCGAACGGTGCGAATAGCACTAGGGTAGGGGTATTGGCTTTGAGATTGGGATCGGGACGATACACGTCGGCATAGAGCAAGATACCGTCCCTCATCGGGATGGCTATATCCTTCTCGAATAGAGTCTTGCCATCTTCGAGGAGAATAGTCTCATGCTTGAGTGGAGGAGCTGGTCGGAGAGGTGGTGAGACCTGTTTGTAGGTTAGCAAGCATAAGGGAAAGAGAATGCTAGAGAGTATGGCAAACCTGCTGGGGAGGCACAGCCTTTCGGTAGTAGGGAGAGTGAGAGTGGGTGTTGGCAGCCATGGCAAGCGAGACTTTAGTACGTGTTGTTGATACCTAGGTAGGGTACATGACTATCATGGTGGAGGTAGTGGTGGGTTTTAACCCATAAATTCCATATTGAGCTGGTGATAGTGGTCAAGAGAGAGGCCGGCTTCAAGAGCCAATCGGATTTCTGATTTCGGAACCAATCGGATCGCGTGTTACGGAAGCCAACCTCGACCCCATCGGGACTTGTTCCCCACGATTTCATCTCGGACTACGGCTTGATCAGATTCTGGGGTACAGTCTGGGGAAAGATGGTTGACCCCAGATCCAGGGTTCTCTGACTGTATAAGACTAGTCTCCAAGTCGCGCTCGTTTCGTCCTGTCCTTCCCACATCATCACCATTCACTGAACACAACGACCAAACATGAGCGACATCAAGGCTGATGACATTCAGCTTGAGCATGCCCCAGGCACGACTCGCCCCTCGGGAGCAGCGGATTATGACGCTGGTGACTCTTCGAGCTTCCATGAAACCTATAGGCTGTCTGTCCGGACCTACATGGTCTTGACTACCATGGCCTTTGCTTGGGGCACTTGCACCATGGCAAACATCGGTCCTTCGACAACATATAGCTACGCTGTCAAGGCCCTGGGTGGCGAGTCCATTTCGACCTGGATTCCCAACGCGAGCCTCTTTCCTATCATTGGACTCCAGCCGATCTGGGTGAGTAAAACTGAGGAAGGAAACGCCATATCTACTTCGCTGATGAGGCCGTCCAGGGATCTCTCGCGGATCGCTTTGGTAAGAAGTGGTTCATATTATCGGGTGGTGTCGCCGGCGTCATTGGTAATGCCGTCGCTGGCTCGGCCAAGTCCACAGAGGTCATTATCGCGGGACAGGCACTCAACGGCCTTGGCTCTTCTCTTTATGTGAGTTGCGTTGTTGTCCCAGGCCAGGCGGGTGGGTAATCTTCATACTGATATTTTTGCTTCAGTTACTTGTCATCCCTTCTGGTATGGAAATCGTCCCAGCATCGCACCGCAGCTTTGCACAGGGCTTCATGGGTTCTGTAAATGGTATCGTCTCGATCATGATACTTTTGGTTTGTGAGTTGACTGGCTCGCCGCTTTTTGGTGACGGCTCCCGAACTGATACTTGGCTCTCGTAGCTGGCACGTTTGCCAGAGCGTCCTCCTCTGGCTGGCGCTGGGTCTACTATTTCAACGGAATCTTTTTCGGCGTCGTGGGTGTCTTTCTCTTCGTCTTCTACGATCCCCCACCCACCAAACTGCGACGCGAGAACACCACCGGTCAGGCTCTCAAGTCTATTGACTTTGCCGGTGTGGCATTGTTCCTTTGTGGCATCATTCCACTTGTGGTAGCTCTAGTCTGGGGCGGTCACACATACCCTTGGGACAGTCCCCGAGTTGTCGCCCTGTTGGTTCTGGGATGTCTATTCCTCGTCGGGTTTGGCGTCTATGGTAGGTTAATGAAAGCCTTTAAACACATCTCGGCTCACCGTTGGATAGAGAAATATGGCCGCTCTGACGGGCTCCTCGATCACCGTTTCTTCCTAGAACGAAACTACCCACTGGTACTATCTGTCGCCTTTGTGGATGGTATGCTCCTTTACGGCGTCAATGCCTTCCTCCCTCAGCAGGTTGGCGGGCTGTTTACACATGACCCCATCATGGTCAGCGTGTATCTGGTATGTTCATAATAACACACTGGTCCTCTCATTATTAGACCCTCCTGACTGTTTGAGTAGCTGCCCTTGAACCTATGCGTGATCGGTGGCATAATGTCTTCGACTTACGTCCTCGGGGTTTTGAAACATTACCGCATTCTTCTGATCTCTTCTCTCGTGCTCATAGCACTCTTCTGTGGACTCTTAGCTCTCGTTAATGCCGACCGAGCTGTGATGCTCCTAGTCTTTACAGGCTTCATTGGACTAGGAGTTGGAGTTACCACGGCTCTTCCCAATGTTGTTCTGACATATGCGGTACCGCCACATTTGATGTAGGTTGTACTTTCCAAAGAGAGTTACAAGACTAACACCCAATTTCTTAGTGGCACAGCAGGAACCTTACTGGCATCATGCAGAGGTCTCGGTGGGACCATTGGCATCACCATCTTTGCTACAATCAATGGGAATTATATGTCGAGTAAGCTTCGTGTCTACCACAGCGCGATATGTATTTCATTTACTAAATGCCTCCAATAGGCCATCGCATCCCCGACGTCACACAGGCTGTGGTCAATGCTGGGCTTCCGGTATCATCTGTAGAAGAGTTTGTGGCTGTTTTCTTGAATGGCAACAGTTCCGCCCTGACTACTATTGCTGGTGTCACACCTTCAGTCATTAAGGCAGCTGAGCATGGCCTCGAGAAAGTCACTGCAGAGTCTTTCAAGTTTGTGTGGATTGCGAACGCTGTTATTGCAGTTGTCACAGTTATGCGTAAGTACACACTCTACATACTATTCAGCGTTTTTCCTCTCTTCTCTATACGACGGATGACAACTAACAAAAAGTATAACAGTCACATGCTTCCTTCAATCTGTCACGCACCATATGACAGGTCATGTTGTCGCACCTCTTGAGCAAGGTAAGCTGCGTGAAAGTGCCATGGTCAAGGACATAAAGCATTAGGCAATCAAGCTACGGTCTAGGACACAGAGCATCGCGAGGGCAGGGTTATACACTTGTGGAAAGCAAACTAGCACGGGATAAAGCGGTGAGAATGAATAGTCAACTGCTGGGACTGTTCTGGAAGTCGACCCCGAGTGCAAATTCTTCAAGGCTGGCGGTGACATCTCGTGGGTCGGAGCGACAACTCGCCAGGGTAGTTATGCAGAGTACCAGCTCGTCAGCGAATTTAACTGCGCTCACAAACCCAAGTTGCTCAACTTATCGAAGCGGCGAGCTTTGGCTTGACTTTTGGAATAGCCTATCACTGACTAGACATGTATACATCCTGGCAAAGACTGAACAATATGTTGATGCTATTGCCAGAATCTGCGCACCATTCCGCAAGGCTTGCACCATTGTCCAGGCTGACATCAGTCTCTACGGAACCGAGTTCATGTCCAAGTCAATGACTTTCTCTTGGGACTGGCTCGGCTCTGCGGCGTATCATCGCACTAATCTTGAAGGCTATCACAAAGTGTTTACAACCTTGTCGCGTCTGATGGATGAGCGAAAGCTCGTCCTAACTCCTGGCAAGCGGCACAAGTTGACTCTTGCAGGGCTAAAGGAAGCTCATCGCCAAATCGAGTCCAAGACCACTGTAGGCAAGGTTGGTCTCGGCGTGGACGAGCCGGGTGAGGGTGTTCCCTTTGCTTGAGAGATTGCCCATGGCTTTGTCTAGGGGCTGGAAGCACGAGGCCGACGTCATTACTTAGGATTGATTGGACCAGCATCAAATATACATGCGTCAATTGACCTTGGGTACCACTGTCTGTATAGGAAATGCCCCACCGATTTTACGACAGCGGCTCCAGCCTCAAGTTTTACTCAGAGGACGTGGTCTTTCACAATCAGAATAACACGGTCTATCACGGAGGCGACGAGATGTGGGCCTGGATGAAGAAACTTTTTGGTGTGTTCGAATGTATCCATCACGACTGGGTCCAGTTCCTGGAGATTGAACGCGACGATGGCATAAGCCAGATATGCACACAGAATATTCGAAACCTGTGGCTTCGCGGAAATAAGGAGAGGAAGCCAACGGTCAGCGTTCCTGTCACCATGATTGCTATCATCGGGAAGAGTAACGACGAGAAGACTCTAGAGGGATTGCATTTCAAGGAGGTCTGGCTGTATTGGAACACTGCTCTGCTTTTACCCTTTCTCCCAAAAGAAGCTGTGGTCTTTAAGATGGAGAATATCTTGCATGCAAATGAGGAGTAGAGTGATAGTAAGACACTCAGTAGCTACCATATAACCTTGCTGCTGATTTGACTGGGACCCGCCCTTGGGTTCAGAACAACCATGAGTTGAATAATGCTGAAAGCGATGGATCAAAGTGCTCAGTCATCCCTATCGTCATGATAGTAATTTTCAAGTCCTCAAACGACATCAGAGTCTAGAGATCAGGCCCGTGAGAATAGAAAGAGACACTGCACCTAAAGACAGGAGGCGTACGATCCGCTAATCTATTCTGTTTTTTTTTTTTAATGACATCGCTGTCAGCCACATAACCAAAGAACACACTTGTACGATCCGCTAATGCGTTATTTCTCCGACAAACGAGGCCTAGGGATCTCGAATGTACGGAAAGGGCTTCACATGGGCAAGCAGATAGTCGGCAATTGGGTCTCTGCTGTCCCTGGTATCATGTCCTCTACCAAAGTGTGGTAGAGTCAGTCACGCAATGCCCACCTGGAATGAGCCCACCTGGAATTACCGTAGACACTGCCGAGACCAGGTAGAGCACAGGATTGATTAATATGCACCCGGCGTCATGACATTATCGCTTACAGTGTTTAGTGATTATCCCACTAGCCCTGAGTGGTTGGTCACCTCGCAATGCCTGTCCCTCATTTACTCTGGCTTGAGTCGGCTAGATTACTGAACATGCCGGCTTAACCATTGGGAAACCACGTGCGGCAAGGTTATAATAACGACGATGCCTTTGACGGACCTTTGCTGGACATGCATACCACTATTCACACAAATCATCACTACGCGAAGATAAGTCTACAATACAAAGTATTTTTCAGCAAGCATACTTCGTCTACCCGAACCAGACCAGCCGGTCATGACAATCTAAAGTGGGTTCCCACCACATCTACCTTAATCTACAGAGCCAAAGACGCTATATTAGTCGACGCGCAGTTGACATCGGACGCGTCACATAAACTTCTAGACTAGGTTATTGCGAGCGGGCACAATATCACACACATTTATATCACTCATGCCCACGGCGACCATTTCTTCGGCAGCGCACTCATCCTTAAACGGTTCCCCGACGCGGTTCTGGTCGCAATCCCCGAAGTCGTGGCCAGAATGGAACTTAAGACTACGCCAGAACGTCTAACTGGTATCTAGGAAATATTATTTCCTAACCAGATCCCCCAGACATTAAAGGTCGCCCGGCCTCTTTCTCGGGACTATTTTAAACTAGAGGGAGAGAAGCTAGAAGTAATTAGGACTGGCCACATAGACACGGATAACACGACGACTCTTTGGGTTCTGTCTATTAAGCTCGCTGTGACGGGCGATGCCGTATATGTAAACACCCACCTATACTTGGGCGAGTCGGGAATGGCCGCCAAGCGGAGCGAGTGGATTAATGCGTTAGACAAGATAGCCGCACTTGGACCTGAGCATGTTGTGGGTGGGCATAGTGATCCGAGCATGGGGTTCGGCCCTGAAGCCATCTACGAGACAAAGACGTACTTGGAGAACGTTGAAAAGATCAGTTCTAACGCCGGTACGGCTGAAGAACTTTATGAGCGGGTATTGGAGATTTATCCCGAGCGTCTGAATCCAGGATCTCTCTGGGCAGGTGCTGTTCTGATCAAGAGGCCATAACTTGGCCATACTAGGCGATCCAGCGACTTACAGGTAGTCATGCAAAGTGGCGGTAGTCATTCATTCATGCTCATTCCTTTAATCTCTTGTTCCTACTGATCTATTGTTCGTCCCTTGCTCTAACTCTCGATGACTATCTACATTTCAAGGCTTCCAACAAAGTCAAGAATATTGTTTCGTAGACCATCTGTGTAGCCAAGAACTAAGACCATAGAAAGAGTTAGCCCTGTACCCTTAGCCCGCAAGCCTCGGCTGGCGGATCAATTACGAGACAAGCAAGCCCGCCTTGTTCTCTGGTTCGACCCTTCTCCCCTCTGCTTTGCTGCCACGCCGTTCCCAATTAATACCTGTCGCCCCCAGAACCGGGCTCAGAATGCTGGGGAAACTATCTGTGCCACACAATACGGCGGGGAGTTCCACAACAGCGGTTAATGGGTTGAGTCAATGACCCAATGGGTGGCTCTGAGATTTGCATTTGCTGACCTGCTGAAGTAGAAATCCTTTTCAGTCCATCGTCTCCACTTTGATTCCTCCTGTATGTGCTAGGCTTCGTCATCAGTTGGGCCTGTGGGTACGAAGTGCGGGATAGCTGTAGAAGCCATCTGTATCAAGCTCGCGAGCTGTACCGAGATAACCGAGGCTCTCAGCCTCTATCAACAATTTCACAACCACCCCTACCTAATTCGATGGATGAGCCCATGGAAGGATTCGGTACAAAATCTCGCTGAGATTTGGTAAGGGGAACAGGCAAGGGTTGTCAATGGTGGCTAGCAGAAAGCGAGGTCAATCTCGCCGAACTGACTTAGGTGTTACGGCACACCTTCAACCGTTACACCACAGGGTAAAAGATTGGATATTGATCGCATTAGTAACAATCAACTAGGTGCACCGGCTGCCTTGTCAACTGTCCGGGGGACCAGGCCGTGACACTAGGTCGGGACCAGCACGGCATAGGCTGTGCCTTGATACTGGCCCGGCCGTGATAGTTACTATGACCTTAATTGACAGCCAGACAAAAGCCAGAGAGACCTAAAGTGGATACGCCACTTCAATGAGTATTTGAAGATGTGTTTTTCAGGCTCTTTTAATCTCCTTATCCCAGAAGAACATGCGGCCACCTGCGGCCGCAAGCGCATTCCATGATATCCCGGTGGTCATACTAATCATTAAAGCAGCCCAGTCTCTTTTGCCGAGGCGTCTATGATCGCTCTTTGCTAAGCTAATATCACTAATCTCTTTTCAAGTTTGGCGGCCGAGAAGATTATTAAATGCCGGTCAAGGCAGGGCCGACGACGGAGGAGTAACTGGCCGACGGAAGAGAAACTGGCCGACGGAACGATAATTAAGCCGGGTATTCTAAAGCCTTGTCATTTACCGTTCCGTTGTCTAGCTATACTTGGCGATCACAGTGATAAATAGAAAGTTACTTTCTCACCTGGTTCGGAAAGTTCATTCATCTCCGCGCAGCCTATAATTCCCATTTCACCAAAACATTTTCGGGATTTGAGCTTGTTTTGAGATCGACGCAAGAACACCAACTCCACAAAGCGGCTCATCATGGCGGAAACCACTCCGCCAGGTCTAGAGGGCATTGTCCAGCACCGGTATGCGCAAGTTGGCTCCCATCGTTACCACTATCTGCACGCCAAGCCATCAGGAAAGCTCAAGGGGACGTTTTTTCTCTTTCATGGCTTTCCTGATATCTCCTACGGATGGCGCTATCAGATAACCCTCCTCCACTCTCTCGGGTATGAAGTCGTTGCCGCCGACATGCTCGGTTTCGGTCGGAGCAGTGCCCCTACCGACCTCAAAGAGTACGCCGCCAAACTACATGCCGACGAAATGGCAACCCTCGCCGGGCGAGTGGCTCCTGGACAGCGCATCTTCGCCGGTGGGCACGACTTCGGCGTTTTCGTTGCGTATCGACTCGCCATATACCACCCCGACCTGGTCCAGGGCCTTTTCGTCGCCGCTATACCCTTCCTACCACTGGAGACTAAGTTTGAGTTTGCTGACCGGATCGGCGACGAATCTCATTCTGCGATTGGGTACATGCGCCAGTTCGGCGGGCCGGAGTTTCATAAAAACTTCGTCGGTCAGGACAAAATATGGCACCTGCTGAGCGCATGTTACAACGGAACAACGCCGGAGGGTGAGCCAGGAGGCAGCCCCGAGGTAGGACTCATACTCGATAGGCTGCCACGAATTGGACTCTCACCAATTGTGACTGAGGAAGAGTTGGCGTATATTGTTAGCGAGTACGGGGACTCTGTTCAAGGTCCTTTCAACTGGTATCGTTTGTCGAAAATCAACTTTGATGCAGACCTGCCCGCCGCTGAAAAAGGCAATATCAGATTCAAGATGCCTACGCTGTTTGTCGCGGGCAAGGATGACCCATACTTGCCTCCGTCTATAACGGATGGGATGAAAAGCTACTTCGACGATCTAGAACTGCATGAAGTTGACGGGACACACTGGGTGCTATGGGATGCAAGGGACAAGGTTAATGAGCTGCTCACCAAGTTTCTGTCAAGATTCACAGGTCTGAGTTAGGCACCTGAGCCCTTGCCCCGGGGGAAGTTACTATGCACGACAGCTTTTCTACTGTGAAACTTTCTATGCTATGGAAAGTACTCGCATATGGGACATGTTCACGAATCGTTCAAGGAGAGATTGTTATGTTTAGGAGTACCCGAAATACTGACAATCTCATCAATGAGCCTCACGGGCGACCACTGAGATCGTGCAACATGCCTAGTATATGCACACGTTCATTTAGCGCCCTCATAGACAGATAGACCACAACTATCAACACACTTGGTTACACAAAGCTCACTTTTGCACATTTCCAGACCGTGATCTACATTGCTCACTACGACGTTTTGATCTACTAAATCTTACGCCTCCTAGGTGCGTGCTTCACCGAGAGTCACAACCGCCCCTTAAAAGGGTAGCTATTCCTGATGGTGAACTTGGAATCTTAAATATGGCTACTCATGTTGGATAGCTTATGTGAGCACTTGATGACCTCAAACATCCCTGTGTGTTGCGTCTCTCTTCCCTGTACTCCCGCCCCTTCAGGTGAGGGAGTCCAGGTTCTCCTTCATTCCTCATATGAGCCAGCTGCCCAAGGGCTCGGCGAGCCCCTGCCAAGTCGGCACCGAATGCCCCTTATTTCTCATGTGACTCCCTGGAGCCCTGGATAGCTCTCTTATCAGGCGAACAACTCCATACTAATCGCGTAGCTACTACTGCTCCTGCTGGTTGCAGGCAGATCTATCATCTTGAATTATTGAACTTCCTTGAACTGGCTGACAATAGCCTCGGATTGAACGTCACATTAGGTACGGACCCTTGAAGCGTATGTTAAGCCCACGTGGTCCTAGTAAAACCTTACGAAATTGCAGCCTTCATAGTGCAGAGAGAAGACGATCTTCTGGCTTAGTTAACCCATCAAGGGCCGGGCTGCAACTATTATAAAGAACAGATTCTCAACACATCATAACATCATGACCCAGTGTTAACACTGTGGCCTTTTTGAACCTTCTGCAACATCAGAAGAAGCAGAGAGAAGACTTTATTGTACAGAGGCGTTGCATTTGCAAGCCACTTACTGTTCAGCACTGAGAGCATCATCAATGAGCTTCCAGGTATGATCTGCCACCTTCTGCCTCTGCTCCTCTGTCCAAACGGCCTTGTTGGCAACCAGATGCCCCTTGCCATCAATAGCACTCCAAAACTTGCCTTCCTTTTCCTCTGATGCTGTAGACTCATATGTACCCTTCAGCAGATTCTCAGCGCAAGTCGCAGGCGCCACCCCGGCCAACCCGCCAACCACCCGGGCCGGCAGCCATAAATACCATTGACGTTTGCGGTCAAGGTAGGTCTTCACAAGGCCCGGGTAGGCATGAACGAAATGCCGTTTGTTCCCGCTTTGCGCAGCAAATTGCTGGACCATGGCGTCGGTCATCGAAAGGCAGTGGCTCGCCGCATTTGCAAGGCTGAAGTTTGTTTTCAGGTCTAGGTCCTCCCAGTTCAGCTTAGTCGGGCTTCCGCGGATCGAGTCTAGCACAATGATGACCTTGGCGTCGTCCTTTAGGACGGGAAGTAGCTGGCGAATCAGCAGCTGACGGCCGTAGTAGTGTAGGGCCATCTTGCGATCAATCCCCTCGGGGGTCTCGGTCCTCCCTGCGAGCGTCAGGATGCCTTGCGTCAAGACAAGCAAGTCTAGCTTAGGCTCCTGTGCCGCCTTATAGGCGTCCGTATACGCCTTAATAGCGCGCATCGACGATGCATCTAGTTTCCGAAACTCGATATTGGCGTGGGGGATGTTCTCGGGCTTTGTGCGGCCGCTAATAATGATGGTCGAGGACCTGGCTTCTGCAGCGACGTGGCAGGCGATGGCATAGCCGATGCCGCTTGTGCCGCCGACCACTAGAGCTCTTGTGACGCTTGAGGACATGATATTGATCTGAATGTAATGTAATTGATTGATGAAATAAGTCGATGGAGAGACATTGCTATCGGCCTGGGTAATAATAAATATATCCGTGACACGTCTATGTGTTGCCTACTACCCTAGTAAGTACCTACGGAGTAACGGTAGAGTATATAATCTAGTCCGGTAGATACGGAGTATGTACGTAACTTCGTCCGGTATTACGGAGTGGGTATGTAATGAGTTGGGGGGAAAACATACTAGGCTATTTTAGGGTTATAGAAATCTCTTAATCTAACTCTATAGTAAAGCCTATCTCCTGAGATATAACTAAATAATATATAAGTATATTTATATATACCTATACTAATATTTAATATTTTATTTATTAATATATAAATATAAAGTTATTAAAAGTATATTAAAATTATTAAATAAATATAATAAATATATTCAAGATATAATAATAACTATTAATAAATATTATATTAATTTTTATATAAAAATAAAAAAAATTATTAATTTTTTTATTTTTTTAAGTTATAATACTTAAAGGAAAATAATATATTAAATTAGCTATTTTAATTTATAAAGTAGTTCTTATAGCTTTAAAGTGCCTAAGGGTATTTTAAATACTTAGGTATTTTATATAATATATAAAGTTATTAAAGCTTAAAAGACTTATAAAGTCTATAAAGTATTACCTTATTAAGGTAATAATAATAAATATAAGCTAAGTTAATAGCTTATTAGAGCTAATTATAATATTAAAGTTACTAAGAGGATATATATAAAGCGGGGAAGTTAGCTATAAGGGGAAAAAATTAAGGTTTTTAAATTATTAAGTTATAAAAGTAACTTAAGCTATTAAGGAAAAAGGTTTTAATTATAAAGATATAAAGGTTTAAGTAATAGAGGAGTATAGGCTTAGTTAGAGCTTAAATATAATATCTCAGCGAATTACTCAATAGTTAGCGCATATATTATCTTTAAATATAATGGGCTACGTGGTACTTCCGTAGGACGATGACTACTAGAAATCGGAGAACCGTAAGTAGGAACAGGTGCAGGGTATTACGTGAGGTGCTCGTGGTGATCTGGTCTGGTCGAGCGAGCGTCGCAGTACGACGGAGTTATAGATCTATATTTACGGAGAGATTATGATTGAGAGGTCGAGAGATATCTCAGCGCTCCCTTTCTTCCGCTTTCGACAAAGCCAGCCGCGGAGCAAATACTCGGCCTTGATTAATAGTTATAATACTCCTTAGCACTTTCTTATGTACCGGCTACCTCAGCTATCAATACAAATTGGTTACACTCAATACATTTGTGCATATTACCAGACGTGATATTGCCTCTTTATGGTTACGCAATATCCTCCTCTGCTAACATAAACCCTGTACGACCGGTTTATCCCTTGGAAAATACCCTACTCGTCACATGTAGCATCTTCTTTCATAAACTATCTATATATTTCCTCTAATGCCCAAGTCTAATATTGAGAGCCCTGTACTTTAACGTTCTGACTAATTGCGCTTTGTCCGCTCGCGCTGCGAGTATCGTCTGGATTCACCAGTTCATGGGAAACGCGAATGTGAGTTACTAACTCGATTTCATCATCCCTTACGCCCCATTTAGCGTACTGCGATGACAGAGCTTGTCCTTTATCTGTGTTGTCATTTTGGCCTACTCCGGTAATCTTTGTGTGGACACCATAGCCGCTGAGCTGGTTCGAAGAGGAGCGATTGGTAGATGTTTTCGATCGGATGATGAACCTTCGAAGACCGGGGAGACACACGACGATGACGGCGGTGCTCATCTCGGCAAGAGATAAGGTATCTAAGCGCTAGGTCAGCCTACGAATGTTGTAAAGCAAAGAACAGAGAATGCGTACTGCCAGACTCGTCGTCAAGCTCAAAATTGGTCGCATTGTATGCAATGAACCGGGAGAGGCTGACTATCAATGTAATGGCACCCAAAGAAAAAACGCCAATAAGGGCAATCTTTTGTTGCCTGCGAAGTTTCAAGTGCTTGAGTAGAAAGAAGGGGTAGAAAAAGACTACATAGGGCCATGTTAAATAAGATACTTTCAAGTAGGTAGTAGGTGCTTTGGACATACTCAGCAAATCCGTCGAAAAGTTGAGACCCCATTGAATACAAAAAGAAGGGTACGAGTTCCACGCTGACTTCAGCTGGTTTTCGATAGACCTGATATCGGTTAGTTCAAATGATTGGGAAATTCATGCCACTTGACTTTACCAATTATCAGAGAAAGGTAGGCAAATTAGAGTGTTTGTGAGGACTGATGCGAGTAAGGCGCAACCAAGATAAATCGAGGTTACGAGTAACACGCGTCTTAATGATCCAAAAATCCCGGGAATCAATTTCCAGTAAACCAAAACAATGGATATCTTGGGGAAGTAAATTCCAGTGTCGAAAAAGTACTCTGCCACCAATACTATCTGCACTCGGTCAGCGTTGTAATTCTCTTTCACGTCACGCGGTTGCTACGTTGCTATACCTTTAAATACTCTACTGAGTTGACAACGAGTTCGGAACCGACCGCAGGATTCTCTATGAGAATTCGAAGCGCAAGAGTCGAGCAGACAAACCATCCCAAGCTAAAAACCCAACCCAGCCACGCGAAAATATCGGGCACGCTGAGTAGAGACTGCTTCATCAAATAATTCGCCCAGCATCGTAGAAGCAGTACCACCAATGCTAAAACAAGGAGTACTGCCTGGATACCCTAAAGAAATTAGTTAGTATAAGCGGAAAAGACATCAAAGGCAGAAAGAACCAAAGCCAGGATCACATGGATACATACAATGGAAGTATTGATATTCATTGAGGCGACCCGAGTCTTTGGATTTACAACCAGACAGAGAAGCGGGAAAAGAAAAGAGGGACATGGTTCAGCTGCAAAAGTTGGATAAAAAATGCACTGGGGGGCATGGCAGTATATTTAGCCATTAAACTTCGACTAATATGGACCTAACTTGGAACCGAGGGGCTCGAGCACTTGCATAAAACGTGGTGGAAAATGATGACAGAAATCAGAAGGTTAGTTTCATAATTTTCGGAGCTGAAGACCCACTCCCCCTGTAAAAATCGAAGTTAGCCCCTGCAGACTTGGCATCGGATCGGGGGGCTTCGGCTGATCCCTCCCGAAGCGACTTGGCGCAAATGCCAAGCGAAGTAAGTCGAGTTCTGGAAACTATACATATGCAGTGGTAGTTCTTCCTCTCAAGTATGAAGACATTCATCAGGTTCGACCTGCATTCAAACTCGTGCTTGGAAACTGCATGGTTTGGTTAAGGGCTCGAACTGAATGGCCAGGGCAGCAACACGACATGGGATTGGTGGGTGGATGATTGAACAGTACTCCGTAATAAATAGCACAGCGCAATCCTGACCTTTAGGTGTGTTATGACTGTGTTGTTTTTGTTGGGTTGCTCCGAGGCCTCCGCCCCCTGGCCTTGTGTACCCTTTTGAACAACCACCCAACCCGTATCCGAGACCAAGTTAGTCCAAGTTTGGATTAGACCAAACCTTAGATCTCAGAATCCATGAATCGCGATTCTTGCCTGCAGATTCCGGTATTAGCGCGAGTCATGCCGTCTTATCTCTAGTTAGCACCTGTCAGAGACCTGCTTAGCTAGGTAACAGGACCGACGAGCTAACCGACGCTACGCGACCAACAGCTTACGCTATCTGAATTCAATAACTTCAGGGGCGAAAGCCTACTTCGCCATAGCTAAAATTGCGGATGTTTTGCTTTACGCGGGTAATGATGGCCTCGGGTCAATATTGGAGCAGGGAGTTACTCGGCTCCGCCGGCACAAGCTGGGGCGAACGAAGCTAATGAATCCTTACGGCCTACGCATGCTCGTCGTGATAGTTTAATTACTCTCCGGCTTGACCCATATATAACCAAGCTCCCTCCTTCTAGCTCTCTTAGAACTGCTCATCCTAGACACTCTCGCTACCAACAACCGCCAACATGAAGCAATCACCAGCACAGCTTCTTACTGTCCTTACAGCTTTCCTTACCGTAACCGAGGCAGTCAGCCTTCCGCCGCGAGACAAAGGAACCTGCAAGCAGACCAAGGTTGCCATTCTCGGAGCTGGTGTTGCTGGTATCGCTGCAGCCCAGAACTTGACGCAAGCGAAAATCACCGATTTCCTTATTGTTGAGCACAATAGCTATATCGGAGGTCGCCTACGAAGTCAGAAATTTGGCAACAACCCCAAAACCGGCAAGCCATACACTATCGAACTGGGTGCAAACTGGGTTGAAGGTATTGGGTCGCTCGAGACGCACGAGAATCCCATTTGGGGATTGGCACAGAAGCACGGTTTAAAGACAACTTACGCCGATTACGATGCCCTCGCGACGTTTGACCACAAGGGCGCCAAAAACTGGACCGACAAAATCGCCGAGCTAGACGCCGCTTTTGAGAATGCGTCAGCCGACTCCGGCCGCATCTTGCTGGATAACCTCCAGGATTTATCGGCTCGCGCTGGTCTTCGTACTGGAGGCTGGAGACCCGACAAGAACGACATGTATGCTCAGGCAGCGGATTGGTGGGGATGGGACTTTGAGGCTGCTTGGACGCCTGATGAGAGTGGTCTTGTTTTTGGCGTCGCTGGAGACAATGCCACCTTCGGCTATTTTAGCGATGTCAGCAACCTAGTTATCGACCAGCGCGGTTATAACTACTTCCTCAAGCAGGAAGCCAAGACTTTCCTCAAGGAGAACGATCCGCGACTGCTCCTCAAGACTACTGTTGAGAGTATCGAGTACAGCAAGAAGGGCGTCAAGGTCGTGACCAAGGATGGCGGCTGCATAGAGGCTAGCTATGCTATCTGTACCTTCTCTCTCGGTGTGTTGCAGAAGGGGGTCGTTGAGTTCAAACCAGAGCTGCCTCACTGGAAGCAGAGTGCTATTGACCAATTTGCGATGGGCACATACACCAAGATCTTCATGCAATTCAACGAGTCATTCTGGGACACTGATGCTCAGTATCAGCTCTACGCCGATCCCATTGAGCGTGGGCGTTATCCTCTGTTTCAGCCGCTAAATGGTAAGGGTTTCCTTGAGGGATCCAACATCATCTTCGCGACAGTCACTGGCGAGCAGGCCTATCAGGTCGAGCGACAAACGAACGAGGAAACTGAAGCGCAGGTTGTGGAGGTTCTACAGTCTATGTACCCTGACAAGAAGGTTCATAAGCCTACAGCGTTCACGTACCCACGCTGGAGCACCGAACCGTAAGTTTATGAACATCCCATATACCTAGTTTCCATTCATAACTAACATAACCTGTCTAGCTGGGCGTATGGATCCTATAGCAACTGGCCTGTAGGCATGACTCTTGAGAAGCACCAGAACATACGTGCCAACCTGGAGCGCCTCTGGTTTGCCGGCGAGGCTAATTCGGCCGAGTTCTTCGGCTTTGTCCACGGTGGATATACCGAGGGCCGCGAGATTGGTCACAGAATTGGTAGGATTATCAATGGAGAGGCCGGTGATGATGAGTTTGATATGGAGAGGTACGAGGTGCTGCATGGAACTACTCACGAGGACGAGTATAACGATGAGAACGGGTGGTTGTTTCCTTACGATGTTAATGGTGACAACTGATAACATGCGTGTTTCAGACACTCACAGTACATATTTCATAGTGCCCAGTGCGAAGGTCCATAGTTTTCCGTACCACACCACATTCATAATTCATTACCCTAACTCACACCCTGGGCCCGACGAGCCCCGAATGGCCCCGGCTGTCCTGGCTAACTCTCAGTATCCTATCTATCCAGCACATCGTCCATATTCTCATGATTACTAAAACCATATGGTCGGCTCCCAGAACAGAAACTCGGGTAGATGCCTGATCTTGGGCAAAACTCGAGGCGCAGCCGAGATCCATCCACATGGCCCATGCGGCCGGCCAATACGAGGGCAGTGTAATTCGTAGAGTGACAGCGACGAACGTGGTAATCACAAAAAATAAGAGAGGGATAGTAGAGATCTGCAACAATGGCTTATTATGATCCCAAAATACACTGTACGAGCTGCGTGCGTGATGAGCTTCGGGGGCTGAAAGTGCTTCCTCTGGCAAGGAAAATATCTAAGCAGTTAGCTCTTGCTATGGATGGATGCAATAGAAGTCATGCCCAACACATCTGAAATATAGACGAACATAGGATGATAAACCCCCAGAAAACCTTTTGCAGTTCTTCGATTCGATAGTACCAAGAGACCACCAGGAATATGTATGCCATGGGCGTTGAGATGGCTCCAAACCACACCTGCCCTTGAATAGCGGCCTTCATTCTTTGGGCACCATTCGGGTGCACCGCTTTGGATTCAGACACAGACTTGAAATTGCGGCGATATAGAACAATGGCCGAGATTGTTTGAAATGCCAGTGGGACGACCGTCGCGACGGCAAAGATACTAAGCTCAAACGATGTGTCCATCTTGAAGGTAGAAGTATGTCCAAAGAGGAAACTAACGACTGACACGCCGGTAAGGGTATGGATATAGAAGAAGAATGATGGCGGCGGGCGCTTAAAGGAAATGTTTCGAGACAGAGTGTTCATGCTAGAAACTTGACGGTTTCCGCCGGTATTTGTGCCGAAGTGGTGTCGAAAAAAGTGGTAGACGAATGGTTGGTTGCATTCTCGGCAGGTTCTTGTATGAAGCTAAACATGCGCCAAGATGGAGATGGTGACGGATGAAGAACATCGGACACTGTTTCAGACCTGGGACAACCCTGCATGCCGTTTGTTTTTTGTAAATCTCTTGATCCGACTCTACGGCAGAGCCTGTCTCCTCGGATGCAGCCGGACAACAGGTAGGTACAACCCGTGTTGACATTTAACTCTCCATTTACCGGCACGCAGGAATAAAGCTATCGAGAGCACACCAGAATCACCAGAGAAACATGATAGACGCGCTCAAGACACAGCAAAGAACGTCAAAGAACGTCGAGTCATGTAGGAGCCAAGTATTCAACAAAGACTGAGCGGCGCTATCGGAGCGTTAGGATTATCTCGATTGGCTCTAGGTGTTACTAGGTTGAAGGAAGAGATACTTTGATTATCCCATCAACTACGGCTGACAACGTAGGGAGCGCTCTCCCGATGATAACACCAATGATAGGGAGCGCAAAATTTGTCAGCGTATCCCTGCTTGCATTGGTTTGTCTATAGCGTGGAGTCCTCGTATGTCAAAATGTCTCGCGATCTAGGCCCCAACTACCTTTAATCGGTTCGCGTAAGTCCTCCAAACGCCTCTACCATCCCTACTTCCCGCCTTTCCCCATTTGTTCAGCTCTGCGCTGCATGTGCATGTTGGAGCTCTTTGCGCGATCCACTCCCCCCTCGCCTCTTGAAAGCTATGATGGTTTTTGTAGGGGTGTAAAAGTTGAGTCTACCCTTCCCGTAAAAGGTGCTCATACCGTTACCCAGGGATGGCTACCCGGTTGCAGTACTCAACTGAGGCCCTGATGCAGGGCTGAAGTCAAAAGCCATCTGGACATCTGACAAGTGGTTAACTAAATGCCAAGATACGCTTGCCTTAATCTTGCAGCCAAAGCCACAGCGGACAAGAGTATGTGCCGTCTATTTCATATTAATAATATAGTGGTTAAAAGAAGTATAGCTCTCGATTAGCGGCGGCGCTCGGGTTACATATAAGTAACCTGTAACTTGACAACATATATAATTTAAATAACTAAAGGTACTATAATACCCTATACTATCAGAGGCTAGTCATTGCCATTACAGCCATCAGTCCATCCTCCGGCAGCCTTAACAACCTTGTTATTCCTAAAACATCTGGAATTCACCCAAATTGGCGTGTGAAATGTAGCCTTCCATTCGTAACCCTCCTTGGTCGGCTCATCATAGTAGTCAAACGCCCAGAACGAAGTCCCCCACCCATAGCACCCGGCCATGCTCGGAAGCATCGTCTGCTGCCCCCAATCCCAGGTGGAGAAACCGCCGCCCTCGATCTCGTATGCGCTGTGAGACCACTTGTACCAGCCCTCGCATCGCCCAACAGGCTTGTCAGGCGGCGGCCAAGGCCGGTTGCTTCGCTTCGGGTTGACCTCGTAAGTCCAGTCGCCGCCACCGCGGACGTACTGCCCGCCGTGCTTCCAGTTCATCTTGCTGTTGGTGTCGCAGCTGTGGATGAGCTTCCTCATCGAGTCGATGCACACATCGACGTTGAAGTCAGCAACATCCTTGCCTAGTTGGATCCTAAACTGGTGGTGATCCGGCGTGCCCTGGTCGTACTCTTTTTCATATTGCCGGCCCTTTATTTTCTGTTCCTTCTTAGCGTCCTTGCAAAAGTCTTGATAGTGAGTGTCGAGGCGGTCCGCTTGGGCGTAGGCCTTGGAATTACCGGCCGAGTAGCACTTGAACTGGTCCTTGATCTCGCAGGAAGGCGTCTCCACACCTAGCACCAGCGATCGGAGGTCGACAGCCTCGGCCATGGCGAACGAGGCTATAGTGATGTGGCCTTTCTCGTTAGGGTGGAAGTTGGCACCGATCGTGTTTGGATATCCCATGCCCATTTTCCAGTCCCAATCGTCGTCGCCAGGACATCCAGGGGCCTTGGGTTCGGCACGGCTCAGGATGCGGCGGACAATAGCGGGTGGGTTGGGGCTGTTAAAGAAGGAGGAACTCCAGATGCTCTCCTCCACGCGCTTCTCTCGTCTCTTTTGCTTAGCTATGAGTTCCTCGCGCAACTGAGGGTCCTCCAGCGCACGACGCTTCAGCTCTTGGTTATCGACATCGGCGCGCCAGTTAAACCACGGGTGCGTGTCGGGCTTGATGAACTGAATATCTGGCTGTTTCTTGTCTGGATAGTCCCCGTTGCTCTTGGGGTCACACATTTGGCCATTCACGGCCTGGGATACCCAGGGGTTCCAGTCGGCGAAGCCGATCTTGTACTTGATCTTGCTGTCGTCCGCGATCTCGTTAATCGCCTGGACCGTCGCATTGTTGATGGACCTGACGAGCTTGTTGAAACGCTTCCGCCGGTCGATCGTCAACCTCTGGGCTCTGTCAAGCGGCCAGAAGTCCAACCACCAAAAGGCATCCCAAGCTTGGTTTTCGCAGTTGGCCTCCTTCTCGTTGAAGAACTCAGCGTAGCCGTTGACGACGACTATGCCGCCGTCGGCCATCTTATTGTTGAGCTCGTAGAGGATCTCCTTGACATTGCCCTTGATGATCTCGCCTACGTTCTTCTCGGCCACGGTGATGACTTTCTCGCAAGCTTCACTCTGGCCGCGCGACGTCATGATGCAACTGCCGATGATGCTGGACTATGTTCGTTAGTGACTGAGTGAGTTAGAAAATTGCTGCAAGAACTCACGAGACAGAGATCGTTGCCACCGGCCGTCATTAAGACCATATCCAGATTCCCCTTCAACTGCTGTGCCTGCTGATAGATCTGGCCTGTCCGGTCGCCACTGCAGGCAGTGTACTGGAAGCTCTGTACCTGGCCGCCAAGCTGACGGTTGATGATCAAGGGATACGCCATGTCGTATCTGGCGCAGAACCAGTTGCCATGTCCGCTGAACTTGAGATTGGGTAGCTGTATGTTGAGGTTCAGCCTCTCAAAGTCATATACGCTTCCGAGAGGGCTACCGGAGCCAATGCCCGCGGTGTAGCTGTCGCCGATGGCGGCCCAGCGCTTCACCCACGAGAAGTCTGCGGGGTTCTTGCTGTCGCGGGCGAGCTTGGGGACGGTGTTTGGTGGCTCAGAAGACTCGTAGTGGGGGTGTCTGATGTGGGGGACATGACTTTGGGCTGTGGAAAAGAAGGCCAGGAGGCAGGATATTGTCAAGAAATTCATGATGCCCAGATAAACCAGGCCTGGGCTGGTTGAAGTCTGCCAGAGCTGCAGTGTTGAGGGAGGGAGGAAGGGATGTGAATGGTTCTTGAAGAGAGCGGATAGGACAAGTTGCTGTTATGATAGCGATGGCTCGATCGGCCGGAATCATCACTCAACAGTCATGTCCCCGGTGAAATACATGCTGGTAGAATGAAAAGGACCGACGGGTGGAGGAGGAGGACGATAGCCTCCTTTGGACTCGATTTGGGAAAACGATGCGGTACCTGCATGTCTCCTGACAATCTTGCCCCGGACCGGCAGGCGAAGAAGGACAGTCTCTCCGCGTGCTTGAATTGGGAAAAATACTGCGCTGCGTGTCTTCTGACAATCTACTTTCGGTATGCAATGCCGTCGTCGTGAGGGTTAGAGTGCTACGGTCAAGGATCTTGGCTGGCCTGACGGCGCTACCTGCCGACCAAACAACCATGAAGATGGATGTACCGATACATGGCAGGGATGAGAGTTGGTTAACTCTATGGAGTAGGTGATGTGGGCTCACAGTTGAGCTTATCTCAGCCCCACAGGATGCATCCATGCATGCAAGACGCAACGACCGGCTAATTTGCGCAGGTACCGTCACATCATGTAGCGTGCGGGATGGACGCATGGGTAGCGTCTAAGCATCGACAAAGAAAGGCCTTGCCAACAGCGTCACAGAGAGAAACGACAAGAATGGGTATCTCACCTCGCCCGGCCGGATCTTGGATAGACACACACACACACTCTCTCTCTCTTTCTTGATCTATCTTTTCTGGTTTGTCCATCTTTCTGTCTATCCCCGTCTCGTCCACCAAGTTAGACATGGCTCCCAAGCTCCGATTGCTGGCCCTCGGGCTGTGTCTGGCCCCCTTCTCAGTTGCCCTCGGCCTGAACTTGAGCACATTCGCCGGACAGGCAACGCTCTTCCGCCTACAGCACGAGGCTGCTCAAGAGGACGGCCGGCTCAGGCTAGGGCCCGAGGACGTAGCAGGCATCGACGAAGAAGAAGACGCGGATAAGAAATGTACCAAGGATAAGGAATGCAAGCTTGGTTGCTGCGGCCCTTTGTAAGTAAACAGTTTCAACCACAGCACGACACAAGACAGCACAGCTCACACCAACCTCAGAGATGAACAAGGCAACGGAGTCTGCGGCCTCGGCCCCAGGTTCTGTGGCGAAGGCTGCACGTCGACTTGCCACTACAAGAGCGAGTGCGATCCCGGCTGGGGCCAAGAGTGGTCCAACGCAACAGAGTGCCCTCTGAAGGTATGCTGTAGCGAGTTTGGTTTCTGCGGCACGACGGTCGACTACTGCAAAGGCGCCACGGTCACCTCGCCGCAGTGTGCCCGCGACCAGCACTCGTCGGATAAGCGCACCATCGGGTATTACGAGGGCTGGAACTACCAACGGCCGTGTGGCAACATGGAGCCTGAGGAGATCCCGCTGGGGTATTATTCCCACATCAACTTTGCCTTTGCGCTGATCAACCCGGACACATACCGGCTGGACCCCATGGACGAAGGTACTGCGTCTAGGTACAGTCGCGTGTCGGCGCTAAAGCAAAAGCAGGACGACCTCGAGGTGTGGATTGCTATTGGGGGCTGGGCCATGAATGACCCTGGCAGGTACCGAACTGTCTTTTCGGATATGGCAAAGTCTGAGAAGGCGCAGGATGCCTTCTTCGACTCGCTGATCTCCTTTTTGAAGCAGCATAACTTTGACGGCGTAGATCTGGACTGGGAGTAGTAAGTTGAAGCCACAATCTGCTCCTTTCCTTGATTTGCTGAACTGGAACTGTCTGGTACTGACACCTCGATAGCCCTGTTGCACAAGACCGTGGTGGTATTGAGGAGGACTTTGAAAACTACGTCAATCTGCTCAAAAGGTTGAGGCAACGCCTGAACTCTTCTGGGAGGAAGTATGGCTTGACATTAACTCTACCTGCTTCTTATTGGTATCTCCGAGGATTCGACATTATCAACATGGAGCAGTATCTCGACTGGTTCAACATCATGACCTATGACATCCGTGAGTAACTCCTCAACCGTGGTAGTTTTGGTGTACTGACTAACGTGTAATGTATAGATGGCGTTTGGGATGGGGCAATCGAGTCCCTCGGTCCATATGCCTTTGCGCACACCAACCTCACCGAGATTCAGTTGGGTCTCGAGCTTCTTTGGCGCAACAACATCAACCCTGGGCGTGTGGTACTTGGTCTTGGATTCTACGGCCGCAGTAAGTCATTTAATCTCCCTCGGCATCGAGCCCTTAAACTTGCTAAACCGAGCCAGGCTTCACCATGAAGAGCTCCAGCTGTCTGGACGCGGGCTGCGAGTTCAAAGAGGGCGCCAAGGGTGGAGATTGCACTGGGACGCCTGGTGTGCTCTCGGCAGCCGAAATCAACAAGATCATCAAGGACGGCGCCCAGGTAAAGCTCGATAAAGAAGCCGGCGTCAAGATTGTAACCTGGAACAATGACCAGTGGGTGTCGTGGGATGATGCCGAAACGCTTAAGACGAAAATTGACTATGCGAACGATCACTGTCTGGGAGGGTAGGCTTCTCCTCGCCTTACAAGGTTTTGTCTGACCGTATGCTAATTGCTTGCTTCTTGTAGAACCATGGTCTGGGCTATTGATCTTGATGATGGAACATTGATCAAGGCACTAGGGCAGGGCCTTTCGAGGAAGGAGTCGGATGTATTTCCGGTGCCCAAGGTTGTTAATTGCTTTGGAACGGTATGGGAGGAGAAAGATGAGCTTTGAGGAGGATTACTTAGGTTGATGTATTTAACCATGCGTAGGTGGGATAGAATGAATTGGAAGTACCTGGGTTTGTAGAGTTGCCGAACCCAAGTTTGTTGTGGTTATGAGTTGGCATAAGCAGTCAGTCCCATTGACATTGTGGCTGAACCTTCTCATGGAGAGATTCATGAATCAATCATGGAAGCAGCCACTCAGAACATGACAAGAATATCTCTAGCAAAGTGGACAAAGTAGGAGCTTAGAAGAAGCCAAATTGACGATAGATGATTCAAACTCGATTTCTACCAGCGGCCAATGTGAACTTGACAACTATAGTCGACGCTTAAACTACTAGATATAGTCTAAACCAGGCAGCCAAATGAACCATCTCAAGAGAGCGGCAGAAGAAAGAAGCATGTTCAAAATCACGTCCCAATGCCCTTCAACAAAGACCCAATCTGCATATGCAGATGCCCATTTCAGCAAAGTCCTTGCCTGCTGTCTCCCCCCTTGAGGCTTACCATACTACGCAACCTCTTGAGCGTCCCCGAAAGAAGGTTACCCTTCTCATTATGTAGCGTGCTCTTGCCCTTCGCATCAACGCCGTAGAGATCCTGCAGCTTCTTGACATCAGCAGTCGACGTCCCCGTCTTGATCTCAATCTTGGAGTCGTCTGAGTACAAGAGCACCGGCATCCGGTTATCCGTGCCATCGTCACCAATGCCGCCAACCCCGCCTGAGCCACTGGGGTACAGCATCAGCGACTGTGGGTCAAATGATTCGTCGAAGTTCATGATCAGCCCGTCGATGGGCACCCATTCGACCGCAAAGAACTTGTGCCTCCTGGCCGTGTTGTGTTGGCGACACAGCTTGTTGATGTTGGCTACTGTGAGTTCCTCGACGTTCACCTTGAGCTCCCTGGCTAGGCTCGCCTTGGCCGTGTCAAAACCTCTGAGGTTCTCACACCTGAATTTATTGGTGTGGAAGATACTGCCATAGTATATTGACAGCCACCCGGACTCCCTCATGTCCACCAGATCCTGCGGGCTCGTCTTCCACCACCGCGGCACCTGGTGCTCATGATACAGACCCCAGGCGTGGCCAAGCTCGTGAGCGGCATTCACATTGACGTCCAAATGCCCCACGTCGGCGCGATCGCTCAGATGCATGACGGGCCCGACGTACGAGGCATCCGAGGCATCCAGCGCTGGGATGGCGACAGTTGAGCTCAGCCTACCCTCATCATTGTAATTGACCACCAGACACTCTGTACGCTTCTCGTTGCACTTGGACAGAGAGATTTCATTGTAATTGAAGCCCTTCAATAGGTTCCAGTGCTGCGTGGCCGAGTGAAAGATACCCTTGAGCATGACCTTGGCGTTGGAGTTGGCAAAGGCGTAGGTCAGAGTCCTCTTCGGCCAGAGACGCGTGTCCTTGGCCGAGTCTCCGGGAATGACGGAGACGGCGCGAGCGGCGAGCTTGGAGGGATGGACCTCCCAATGGCGGCTGCCGGCCTGTACGGAGCCAGCCAGCAGCGAGAGGGCGAGCAAGAGGATGGAAAAGAGAATCATGGTTATTGAGTGTGATGATGGTGGTGCAAGAGAGCGTTGTTGGTACTTTGTGAGTGAGTGAGTGAGTGAGTGATTTAGAGACAGAGTGAACAGCGAGGAGCTGATCGTAAAGCACCGCTGAGTTCGGACACGGAGAAGACGTAGAAGAAGAGACACGGGAGAGCAAGCAAGCAAAGAAAGGGAGGTCAGTCTCGCAGTCGACAGCCTCGGCGACTGCACCTAACTTGGTAATTTCCGTATTGCATCCTACCCTCGCCGGGCTCGCCCTCACTTCATTCTACTCTGTTTCATGATGAGTGATGACTACCCTACCCCGCCACTGGGTGTCCATCAGCTTAGCTCAGCTCTGCGGTTGCGCAAAGGAGAATGAGGCCATTCAGGGCTCCAGCCGACAACTGGCCGACAACTGACCGACATATCGCATGCGTGCGCTGCACTCCCAACTGCCGAGTGTGGAAATGTGATGCGATGGTGATTGCAGTGCATCATTAACCTAGGCGGCTAGGCCCTTGTCTGTTGGGCTAAGCGAGACACCACGGCCCGTGACCACCCTAGAGCCGATTGTTGGTGGTGGTGAGGTTAGAGTTTGAAACGATGTACTATGCAGTCAGTATTGGTACTTGTACCGGTACCTGTACCGTTCATTCCACACGTTATGCATACCATGGTAGACCAGGTGACCCTGCAGAAAACGCTCTGATGCCAAGCTCTTCTTGCAGATCACTTGAGCATCCATTGCAACTCATGTGGGCTTCACGTCCAAAAGAAGACTCTTTCCGCGCTCCGTTCCCGCATTAGGCCCGAGTCTTTGCATTCAGTCGAGAGATGAAACCTTGCGGACCTACCTACCCGTGCCTGTGTTTCAATCATAGGGCTCACTGCATTGATACGCGGGCTGGAACTGTGAGATCAAATCAAGGCCGTTCATTGCTGTGAGGCGCAGCCCAGTCACAAGGTGGATTACAAGCTCTCTACACAACCGAGGCTCGGCTGTTCCAAATTGTTCGTCTCTGATTAAGCTCAAAGGAGAAGACTCTCCAACGTCCTGCTTCACCATCAGCCATCTTTCGCTCAGTTCTGCTACAGATTCGCCCAACCGCACTTACACTTCACTCGTTTCCATCATGGCTCTGAGCTTCTGCATACAGAGTATCCTCGTGCTCGGAGCTTTGGTGCACGGCGCCATTGCTCAAGACCCTGCGTCCTCTGAGGTCCTCTCCACCTCAAGACTGTCTTCGAACTCAGAGTCTACCAGTGAAACATCAATCGTGGTGACCACATCCAACAACACCACTTCTACAACGTATTCTATCCGGGAACCCATCACGACCTGGAACATCACAACATCCACTACGGATGAATCATGGCCACCAAAGGCAACCCAACCCGGACAGCCCAGTGGATGCAACCGCTGGCACCTAGTCATGGCGGGTAGCACGTGCAACAACATCATCAACAGATACTCGGCCTTTATGACACGAGAAGAATTGTAAGTTTTGCGGCTCTCTTTATGCGGTAAGACTATCAGACAACTGGCTAACATCGCAACGCAGCTTCGAATGGAACCCAGAGCTGCACACCGACTGTTCCGGGCTGTTCGTCGACTACTACGTCTGCGTGGGTATACGCTCCAACGCAACAGCGGACCTTGAATGGTCCACCTCTACGCCACCTTTCACGCCGCCTCCAGAACCAACCACTCACCTGCCCACCACGGTCACATCCATCGACTCCAACTTCACGCCCGAACCAACGCACGGCGCTATGCCTGAGGACTGTGCACATTTTCACCAAGCCGCTCCCGACGAAACCTGCCGCAGCATCCTCAAGACCTACAGCTACATCACCGAGGCCCAGTTCTTCGAGTGGAACCCTGTGCTCAAGAACAACTGCGACGGCTTGTGGAAGGATACTTGGTACTGCGTCGGCCTGAAGGACCAGCGACCCCTCCCGCCTACGGTGACGACGAGGCCCTCGTCCGTGCCAGAGAACAGTGCCAAGGACTGCAACCGGTGGTACTACACCACTGGCGGAGAAACGTGCGAGGACATCGCCATCATGTTTGGCGGCTTCGACGCCAAGGGATTCATTGCCATGAATCCCTCGGTGCTGAGCGACTGTTCCGATATTGAGGACCGTATGTGGTACTGCGTGGGTACGCCGGATACGCCATCTAATACTGCCACCCAGGCCCCCAGCCAGCCAGAGTCTGCGACGGGAAGAGTGACGCAGACAGGCATCTCCGAGGACTGTGAGGCGTATTGGCTTGTATCGAGGCAGGATACGTGCGAGTCTATCAGTGAGGCGAACGGAAATAGCTCGGCGGATTTGATTGCTTGGAACACGGCTTTGGGATCGGATTGCAAGGGACTGGAGGCGAACTACTACGTGTGTGTGCGTGCTGGCGTAGTTGTTTCGTCTTCAGCTACCGCCACCACCACTGAGAACGAATCCTTAACAAGCGCGTTTAGCTAAGGCCTGTGTGTGCAACGGGCAGTGTTTTACAATTGCATGTGGCTTTTTTTGTGAGATTATGTTCTCCTTGGCGAATGCTCCAATAGCTAAGATCTGTTCTTTATTATAGTTGCAGCCCGGCCCTTGATGGGTTAACTGAGCCCGAAGATCGCTCCAATAGCTAGTGTCTTTCATCCTCTGCCATAGAGCTTGTTCCAAAAAAGTGTATTTTTATAATGAGGATGCGCATGCAGCAATGTGGCCAAGATTACTACAGTACAGACGAGTAGTGACACTGTGCCCTGTCTATCATAATGCGTACTTATAAAGACCCCGTGTGCCCCCCTACCGTGCGCTCCCAAATCTCTAGATACCCAGTACTCGGTACCCAACACCCAACACCCAACACCACCTATTCCTGTGCCTTTATGAAGAAAACGCTCAAAAAATGGGTCATCGCCAAGTTGGACAAGCTCCAGGGCAAAGATCCAACCATACCTCGTCTTCCCGACCAGCGAAAATACGCATTGACAACAGAGTATCTTCTTGCTTCAGAGTCTCCATTCTTCAAGAAACTGCCGTACGAGATCCGACAAGGGATTCTGATGTTTGCTTTTGGCAACCGTCTAATACATATAGACCTATCTCTCGCCCATCCCACGCGCAATGCCATCAATGCCAACCCCACATTCTTCATCACCAACGACCACTGTGGACGGGCACGAGTCGTGTGGCCCCTGTCGCCCATTGACACCGGTAAACCCAAGTGCTGGCAGTGGAGGGGCTGCCTATGTCATCGCATTCCACCGGACTCGAGGGGTGACTTCCATGACAGGGCGAGAAATATTCCACAGCCGGGAGACGACCGGTGCTGCATGGGGTTTGGGGCCTCTTGTGACCAGTGGCCGGGCCAACTACCAAATAAGTGCTGGATTGGCATCATGGGATGGCTGTTGACTTGCCGTCAATCGTAAGTCTCTTTCTCCCATTCAAGTTACGAGACGAATGGTTGCTGACCAACCTCTTGCTCAGGTACGTCGAGGGCATTCAGGTGCTATATGCAACAAACACCATTCACATTGCCAGTAAGGCTCTTCTTACGCACATTCCGAGCGTCATTTTGCCTCAACGGTTAATGGCCATTTCATCATTGGAGATTTCATGGAATATCGGCGCCCACGAACATGAGGGCATTATCTTCCTAAACCAAGACGATCTGGAATCAATCCTTACGATACTGTTCTCCCACTTCCCGGCGCTCAGGTCTTTACACCTGGCACTAAAGATGCAGGTAAATATTCAACTCCCCGTCCATCTTGGCGCCACACTCAGGGTCCTCGACTCGTTTGTCCGCAATACAAACCTGAAGTTCACCGTCTCCGTAACGAGCTCCGTCTTCAGGCAACTATACAGGACTGTACGGGGAGGAATTACTGGAGGAAACCTTCTCTTTTCGGATTACCAGCTTTGGCGACATCTTGATGGTACGTTTGAGCTGGCGCCGGAGCCGTGGACGAGTATTCCGGAATCTTGTGGGGAGGGGTACTGGATTGTGCTTGGTGATAATAACGATATCAAGTTTGATTATATTGTTCACTCTGAAGCATATGCAGTCATAAGGGATTAAATATATATACCTAGGTTACAGATGCGAATAGTAAAGCGTACCGGTCATACACTTTAAGTCGCAACTTTAGTCTTTATTATATAGAACTCAAAAAGGCTTGCAAAGACTCAACAATGACCTGATGATCCTCCTCCTGGGTAAGTCCGCTCACAACAATAGCGCCAACTGGACCTTCGACGTTCTGAACGCGAACAGGAAATCCACCGCCATGAATGGCGTAATCACCAGCTGTCTCGCCAAGTTGGAATCGAGCCTTGAACTTTTCCTCATCACCCATGTCGAAGAGATTATGACCTGCCCAGCTGCTCCATCCAAACCTCAGCACAAAGTTCCTCTTACGAGCCACCCAGTTGTCGTTCTCCGGCACCGTTCCAGGTCGCGACGTGGCGTGAAAGAGCAGTTGCTTGTTGTTGGCAAGCGTAATGTTTACAACTGCAGGATCCTCGCTAACCTCCCTCAGCCGGTTCCTGATCAAGACGCCAATCTCAAAGGCATCCTCAGCGGTGAAGTGTGGTAGAGCGAGCGACTTCTCCTGAGCCGTGATCTCGGCAAACTATTTTGTAAGACAAAGGATGATACAAATTCGGGACGAGAAAGGACTTACGGTTTTCGCGGGGCTGCTCAGCGATTTGGATGCCATTTTGATTTGGAAAGGGAGTAGAAATGAAACTGTATGTCAATGCCGAGAAGAAGAATCTCTTTGCGATCTCACCTACTTATACTTGTATTCATGGATGTAGGTACGTATCTCGCAATGACAACCGAGCGATCCTCCATCTCGGTTGCACTCCGGATGTTTGTGAACCCCCACTGCCAAGATACAAGGTAGGTTCTCCGAAACTCCCCGGCCAACACCAACGCGAAAGCGAGGTGTGATTACAAATACTCTTCAGCTCGACATGGACGCCGGGAACTAATTCCGAGCTTGATGCGCTGGCGACTGTATGAGGGGACGGAAGATGAATGGCCTCCGATGCAGCAGCATTACGCTATTTGAGCAAAACATGGCACAAACTTGTTTGTATTTTGAGAGTGAGAGAGCCTGGGTCTTAACTCAATTGAACAGTCAGGCAATACACGGCGGAAATGGTACATCATATGGGGCGCGTTGAATGAAGTATCGATTGTCATTACATTTCACAACCTTGAAACACGTATTGTACATCAGCATTGTCCAGACCACATACAAGAAACCCATCAGCTTTAAGGGCATGATGATAGTAATAGACTTGAAGAATACGTAAACCTCTAGATCCACCTTGCCAAACAACCGATACGACACAAAGACACTACTTATTCTCTCCACAATCCCCTACCCGCTATATTGAGAGGCACAGGAACTCGTCAACCCACTTGTTCACCGCGTCAAGTAATTTAGACTGGCTGCGACGCCTTGTCTTGGTCCTTGCTAGCATTGTCAACGTGGGTAGCATTTCCAGCCGCAATTGCCTTTTCAGTCAAAACTCCCTCTCGAGGCAGCGATGCGTCGTCCCCATCAAAGATTCGCGCCATCTCTTCAAGGCTGTGACCTCGCGTCTCGGGGAAGGTGAAATAGATGACTATGCCGCCGCCGGCGAGGATGAAGACGTAGAGCAGGTAATACTTCCACGCAATTGCCTCGAGTGCGATCGGGTTGATGAAGATATTGAAGAAGACGGCTGTCGCAGTCGACACCCACATTGTAGAAAGACCACGAGCACGCAAGTCGTATTGCCAGATCTCAACTGGGTATGCCACCATCAAGGGTGTGAAAGCTAGAGAGAAGCAGCCGTACATGAGGAAAAGGAATGGGATAACAGCAGTGCCGACCGCTGCTGAACCTCCCTTCGCAAAGGTGGCAGAAAGCGCCGTGATGAGGATGTAAGAGACGAGCATGCCTGCGGTGGCGGCTAAGAAAAGAGGCCGGCGTCCAACACGATCAACATTAAATGCACCAGTCAAGGCGCAGATGAGGTTCCAGATCTGGAGGAATCCGTTCACGAGAGTCTGGTTTGTAACTGTGGTGACGCCAATAGTGGTGAGCACCGGGGAGAGGTAGTAGCCTGCGACATTTTGGCCAGCCCACTGATCGAAGACTCCCAGAAAGACGGTGATGAATGTTCTCTTGCGGTTACCAGGAGTTGCAAGCATCTGCCCATAAGAGCTGCTTTTCTGAAAGTCACGTTCCATCTGGATAGTTCGCGTGATCTCCTCAAGCTCAAATGTTGCTAGAAGTGAATTCTCGTCACCTTCTGCATGGTACTTGACGAGAAAGGCGCGAGCCTCATTGTGACGTTCTTTGGAGGCCAGAAACCGTGGAGACTCGGGCACCAGGAACAGTGCCGGGAGAACAATTACTGGGAGGAGTAGCTGTAGGACAGATGGGATGCGCCAACTCCAATCATTATCGTAATTGCGGGTACCGAACGTGGACCAAGCGGCAAGGAAAGAACCTATTGACATTGTTAGCTTATACAGTCACAGTCCTCTATGATATAAGCACTTACCAACATACCACCCACACATGTAGAGACTCGTAAGAACTCCACGATGGGTGGGGTATGCCGTTTCTGTCATGAGCAGAGGCACACATCCGCCAAAAAAGGCGCTCGCAATGCCAACAACAACTCGTGAAGCAACAAACATAGATGGGTTTATAGCCCCAGTCTGCAAGCCAACGCCGAGACATAGGAAGAAGTAGCCGATAAAGATGGTTGGTTTTCGACCGAAGCGATTGGATAGGTGTGCGACGACGGGATAGAAGACGATAGAGCCAAGGTTCTGGGCACCACTGATGAACCCGAGCCACGCCCCGGTTGGATGTTCCATGAAGGACTGCCAATGCGGAAGGGCGAGACAGCCGTTAAGCATCGTGCCGTCGTAGCCATTGCCAGAAGAAAGGAGAAAAAGACCAATGAGGCAGAAGTTGAGAAAGGCTTGATTTCGTTTCTTGTACCATGGTTTGTCGTTTAGGGGCAGAACGGCAGCAAGCTCTGGCCCCACACTGTTGAAAGTTTTGGAAGTCATACTGAACAAGTTCAAGAATACCAAGACGCTGGTTTACCAAGCTATTGAGGTTGGAGAGGTGGTTGCAGACTGTTCAGCTATATACTTCATTTTCAGCCGATGACCCCTGACGAGTGTTGAAGCCGAGGTGAGCCAACCACCTCAGAACGCGGGGAAGCTGGCCCAAAATCCGGGGTAGCTTATCCGACAAGCACTGCTGCAAACGCTTATGGACAAAGGTTGTAGATACATGGTCTCGTGCGAGTCTGCCCATCATGGTAGCAGGGTATAAGGTTGTTGCATCACGCTACCCAAGAAAATGCTACGAAACCTTGGGGACATCATTTCCTATCCAAGATAAATACCCGAGGATGGGCCGGCTTGTCGCGAGTCATGATAGCTGTTCGCGGAGTGTCGGATATCGACGTAGTATATGCGTGGGGGGGTCAATGGTTGGACGGCCTGTTTCCACCTCCTCCTAAACCAATCATGTCCTCAAAGTACTTGTCCTGCTCCATTAAATGCCGGTCATGCGGGTGCAGCTGTGGCACAGTTCAGTCTGCGCCGGATATCATTCGTCTTCTGTCTCTATATCTGTCTCGTGTCACACTATCGCAGGGTAGGCATGATCTTCACGGCCTCATAAAATAACTACGTTAATAATCTAGCCATATACTTTAAGTAGCTCTACGGGAGGGAATACCCCGCATAAAAAAAAAATAACCTTAAAAAATAATTAATTAATATACTATTATTACCTATTATTATTTACCTAACCCTTAATCCTTTTAATACGCTTAGTGCGATAGTTATAAGCCTAGAGACTCTTTCGCTGCGTCGCACGCTAGATCTATTACTACTAGTACCTTCTACTATTAAGTCCGTCGTAATAAGCTTATTCTATTAACTTAGAAATCTCCTTAGGGGAATTAGCACGAAGTTAAGCTAACTATATAATACTAACCTCTAGATTATTATTAGATATATTAGATAAAGCGATACGAAATAGTAACTTAAAACTTATAATAGATTTAATAAAGAAGACCTTAAAAATAAAAATAACTAATTTCTTTATATAATCTCTTTAATTTAATATAAATTACTAATATATTAATTAGAAGTTAATTAAAAACGAAGTTATTATTTTTTAATTAAAAATTATTAAAATATTAATTAGAGACTATAATCTTATTATACTTAATGCCTGTGAGGACTAGATGAATTAGATTAACTCTATTAAGGACTTAGCTATTTATAATGATATCTAGAGCTACTATGATCTAAAAGGGACTAAAACCTTAGTCTTTATTGCCACTAAACTATCGGACTTAGTAAGTAAAGATATAATCTAGAAGTATTATAGCCTCTAAGCTATTTATAATACCGAGAAGAAGAAATATAATAAGGTCTCTAATCGCATTGACCTTATAGTATGCTAAGAGTATAAGTAATACTACCTCGGAATCTATAATATCCGCGGTAAATATATTGCGCTAGCTAATAATATCTAGCCCACCGCGAAGGATTAGAAGCATAATATTAGGACTAAGTTTAAAAAGCTTAAGAAAGGCCCTAGTAATATTAGTCTTAATAAGTAGCTTAGCCGCTAGTTAGCGCTTATTAATAATACTAAGTATTATAAGATTAAGAACCTTAATAAGTCGCAGATTTATAATATATTTATTAAAGTATCTCGCGAAGTTAACCTACTATTCTATAACTATATAAAGTCTAAGTATTACGACCCCCGCGGCAATATCACGTGCTCTCCATAAATCCCAAGACCCAGTCACCAATCCCAACGGGACCGATATCACTAAGGACCGATATCATTCCTAGATCACGTCGGTCCTAGAACGACGTCGCGCCTTATCACGGTCGGCTTTACATAAGGAAGCCCAAGTATATAAAATATACTCATTGCACTTTCTTATGTATTAGCTACCTTAGCTATTAATATAACTTAGTTATACTTAATACTATTAAGCATATTACCAGACGTAACTTATACCTTTATTTAAGATAACGCTAATAATCCCTTGCTAATATAAACCTAGCACGACCGGTTTATCCCTTAGAAGTACCACGATCGTCATACTAAGGAAGCCTAGGTCGAGAATAAGAAAAATCTTATTAAGGAGGCTATAAGAACTATAGAGAAGATCTTAAATATATTCCTTACTATGCTTAATGAGATTAACCCTAATTACGCTAATAATAGTTCTATTACTATCGCAAGTTTAATTAATTCTAAAGGAGATAAAAATAATAAAAATAATAATATTACTATTATTTAGAAAGCTTAGAATATAATTAATAGAGCTCTTAAGATCTTTCGCAAGCTTAATCTAACCCTCTCTAAGAAGAAAATTATAATTAGATTCTATATTAGGTAATTTAGGATAATAGCACTACTAAAGGAGAATACTACTAAAAGATAAATAGCCTACGCTACTCTTTAAGGCAAAAAGTATAGTAATAATTTAGACTCGCATAATAAAAAGAATTAGCCTTAATAGAAAAAATAATAAATAAAACCTTTATCTTCGAATATAAGCCTTCGAGACTATATCTATAGCATATCTTATAAATATATTAATTACTATTACCTTAATCCTTTAAATATATTAAAGGGATAATTATTAATTATTTAAG